AGTGAACTGATAAAGAAATAGTGTATAGGAAATTTTGTGTTAGGAGTGAACTGTAGCCGTTATATTAATGTAGATTGGTGGAAAAGATAACCCAAAATGTCTTACATGATGTCAATGTGCGACGTGATGCCCACAATCTCTGAGGACAATGTGAGTCAGCGCAACTCATCGTTTGGTGGGGAAGACCCAAACTTTGAGGAATTGATGGTCTCCATGCTAGGGGAGCGCCAGAAGCTAATGGAAACAAATCGTGATATTCAAGAACGACTCCATGAAACAGAAACACGATTACATGAAGTGGAAGAGGAGAGAAACAATTTACAAAAACAGATAGATGCCAACCTTCCTCAGGTAGGAACAAAATAAAACTGAGTGCCAGATTTTTGAACTCTGTTACACATACTGGCCCAGACTGCCAGAAATGAAAAATGTGTGAATTTCTGAAGATGTAGCAGCATCATTTATACATGTGTAGTGTAAATCTGAGTGCCCGGTTTGGTAAATAATTGCACCAGTTTTAACTCATAGAATGTGAATTTTGAAATGATTTGTGATGCTGCAAAGATAGTTTCAAGCAAACATAAAAGTCATCCAAAAATCACTTCAGAATTTGTGTAATTTGGTCTAGCTTGAGTGTAGTATGTAAGCATGAGGTGTGATGCACCAGTGCCCTGTAGGTGTTTATGACAGTGGATTTGATTATTTTTTTGGCACTTGGGTTGCTATGCAAGCTATCTAACTAACATGGGGAAGGTTGCAGTGCTGAGGCCAACCTGAAAAGATGGGTGGGCTACTAGATGGGGGTGTGGAGCAGGTCCATTCCAGACTTAAATGGGGTAGCCAACTTCTCTGCTTATGTGAGGCCTAAAAATCTGATAGCTGGTAGGTCTCCAAAATTTTGTGTGACATTCTTTTGCATGTACTGGCTACTGACTTGGGTCTAGTTGCATCTACTGCATACTAATTACACCATTGCTATGTCAAGGGCAGTCAGCATCACATATATGACATACCATTCAATGCTTTCCATGGCATTTTTGCTTTACCAGTTTTGCAGCATGCTAAAAGGCATCACAATTGGCAAGGCAAAAAATAAAACCTTGTGGCTTTGGATCAATTATCTTGACCACTGGCCTATCTGGTGAGAGGTATGCTGCTAGTTTACCTGTTCAGCAAGGAGAAGAACCCAAGCTTCTATCACATTCAGATAACTGTGACATAATTAAGATAAATGCAGCACATAACTACAGGACATTGGAGACAAGTGTGGTCTTTGGCTGCCCTTCCAGTCATGCATGGCCTTTCCCATATCATTGTCTAGACTTGAGGCTTCTTTTTTGGGGGTTCAGTCAAATTTATGTCATAGCTCAATACCTGGCCCAATGCTCCATGAGCTGCACAGATGGAGGAATTCCTGTGCCCAAACTGCCTTAACCTGTCCCACCCTGCATCAACAAGGTCTTGTCAAATCTTTAAATCTGTTGTGTTATGCAGACTGAAACTGAGGTGAAATGTACCATCCCAGTATGTGTAAAATTCATTTGCTGCATGGGAGACTTGTATGAAGTCCTGGTGCACAAAGAGCACACATCTGACAAGCTGGGGCCTGGGAAGATTGTACTGAAAACAAATCCACAACAAAAACATGAATTCAAATGCAGTTTATGCTGGAACAGGATCACTTCCAAGTTTTTAAACACAATATAATTCCACCTGCACAGCAAATTTTCTGAGAAGCAAAATTGGTTTTAATTCATGGGTCCCTCAGGCAACTCTTTGTTTCCAATGAAACATGAACATGGTGCTCAGACATCTTTAAAACTATGAATAACATTATAAACATGCATTTTAAAGATATTACATAACTATGTAAAGGTGCATAGTTATGAAATTTTCCCTTCTATGAATCTCACCTATGCTTCATATAATGGCAGACGACGCTTTCTTCGGGGCACAAACGACCTGGTGATCTTGTTCTTGGGCCTCTGGAAAATCCACACCATCTGGCCAAATATTGGACATAGGCCACCAGGAGGCAAGGGCTTACATTGAGTTCAAAGGAAATCAGGCATAATTTTCACTTGGGGCTATGGCATTGATGACTTACAAAAATGACCATTGCAACTATTGATATTTCTACTCACTTGAACATGTAATGAGGATATAGGTTTACATCTTGTGGTATATGTTAGAGGGTGTTTACCATGTGTGTCATGTTATGGGATAACAGTAATATTTACAATGTACAGAACTGATACCACATCTGTGTTATTATCCTCATTTTGTGGCGCTGTTTTTAATTTAGATCAAACAAGGTTAAGGCAGTAGTTGAGCATCAGTCAATTGCAGAGGTACCTGTACCTTGGCCACGTCCTATAAACATTGATGCTGGTCTTAGTAGGCTGTTATGTGTATGCCGAACCCTGCCTGTGTGTATGTTCTGTAATGGATCAATCATGAAGCCATCCAAACTCCAAGCAAAGTTTTGTTGCATCACATGTGTATCTCTTAAGAAGACATGCATGATGAGCTTTGTTTACAATATAAACTTATTGTGATCCAATGCCTAGCAATAAGGGTTCCAAAAATTGTTCAGCCTCCGACCAGGGACATTAATGGTGGTTTCTGTACCAACCATCAGCTTCCCCGTTTCCTCGGACAAAAACCCTAGAGATGCCCTTATCTCCACAAAATGACACCTTTTTGGCATTGGTTCATGCTTTGCACATGTCCCTCCATCAGTTGTCTGTACTTATTGGTTGTATCATTGGAAGTGTTGAAAGGCCCAAATTACCTTGTGAGTTTGAGCTGTGCCGGACAGGATCAGAAGTGCCTGTATGGCCTTTAGATACAAAAATTGTACCCCAAAGGAGGGTGCTTGGGATTTAAAGACATGACCAAATTAACACTGCTATTTTGGTGTCTACGTCAGCTGCATTGAAATAAAGGATTACTGGTGTTAGTGCAAGGATGGCTTTACTCTGTGGTTTAAATTTCAATGGTACCATGACAAACATATGCGCCATGTTTTGTGCACTCATCTCTTTTCCCCATTTCGTCAGGGGAACTGTGCCATGGGACAGGTAGAATACATTTGTATGGTGGTATTGTCTATGCTGTGTGGTTCAGGCTACAGACTGTGGCCATTGTGTCACCACTCTCTCGTCATGCCCGGGGCATCTGCTGCATTCTGGTGGCCGGCCAGGGGACCTGTTCGCCGTTGCCGGGACTATCTGCTCTTGTCGTGTTTTCCGCTGCTCGCGCACGCGGGCTGACGCGTCCGAAGCACATCAGGAGAATGGACATATTATATGTATATGTTATGGTGTATTGTTGTGTATCATTTCGTCCCACCTGGGCTTGGTGTTGGCACAGGGCCACTACAACAATTCCCAGTGACAGCGAGTCTGGTGCAATGCAATTTAAACCAGTGTTTTATTGGCATGAAGAAGTATGCTGCCAGTTGCGGGAATATTTGTGGGTTCCTTTCACTTTGTCTATTTTCCGGAGATTTAGGCGTTTTTGTTCGTTGCGTTGCTCACAGGCGCGGGCCGCCGCGGCTGGACCGAATGTCTGTCCGCCGTCACGTGTCGCTCGCCCGGCATGCGCGTATGTGTGCGTGCGTGTGACTCCGCTCTCCCGGCTGATAAGATAGACTCGCCGGGGCAACGGGCCGACCGGCCGCAGCTTACGTCACCGACATGTGTACTGAGGCCCGGGACACGCTCCCCACCAGCAAATAGCTGCACGAGAACCGCTCCCCTGGGCCTCGAGCGCAGTATTAGATTCTGTGCGGATGAAGACTAGGTGGACGTCTGAGAAGCGCGGGAGTCCCGTTGCGTAGACGCGATCGGACCGGAGATTGATGGCTTCCGTTTTTTTCATGTTTTATCAATGGATCTCTCCATTGTACATTTGCCTATCTATAGTAAAGCGTGACGCGCTGTTGATCTTTATGTCTTTCTTCTAAGTTTCACCTCATGATAGAACATTTATGCATTATAGCTTTCGTTGAAGTATCAAAACTCACGAATCTCTGTCTCGCATTTTGCTTCAACAATCTTGTCCTTGGTGTCTTCCGTTGACGTGATCATGTGGGCTCTTGATTAGTAGGTCATTGACTTTGTGATGCGTTGGGAAGACGAATAAACCGCAAGACAATAAGGTTGTGTGACGTACACGCCTGGACTTCCTTCTTCCAGCGTTGTGGTGCCGTTATGTTCGGTGAGAAAGACTTGTGTTTGTGCCCCTGACGGCAGCTCTGTCATCTGCCTGGTCTTCCGTAACCCCGGTCGGCTCGTGCCGCAGGAATTCACGTCGTTGACGAAGGACCTGAACCAGGCGCGGCAAGAGGCGTCGGCGCTCACCAAAGAACTGAACCAGGCCAGGGACCAAATACTGGAGAAGGAAGAGGAGATTGCCGAACTGAAAGCGGAGAGAAACAACACCAGGGTGCGTATGCTCTGGGCGCGTGGCGATCGCAAACAGAACGCCTCATAGCATGGGGTCCATCACTAACATTCTTTGTTGGATGGATGCATATAGAGTTATCGCACATTCTGATGCTGGAAGTGCTTCAGGCGCCCGCGTTATCCCATCCCAGTCTGGTGGCTGGACGTGACGCTGCAGCTGCGGCATCACGTGCGGCCCTGCGGCCGGTGCCACCCGTATCCGGCGACCGAGCCGGCGCGTTTCCGCGGTTGACCGTGTGCCGGCTGCCGCGGCGTCGCCAGCGCTGTGGCACTGCGGCGCGCCCCGCCGCCGCAGGAGCCCGCCGATTGGAGTGGGTCAGTCAGCAGGCGCCGCAGGCGAAGTTTCATTTTATCTCGCAGTGTCCTTACAGCGTGCCCACGCTTCCGCCACCTTTACTCTTAGCTCCTGGCTGAGGCGTCACTTGACCTCATCGTCCTCACAGCGTGCCCACGCTTCCCCTCCTGCTCCCAGGCTAAGTTGTCAGCTGACCTGCTGCTATGCTCACTGTGATTCACCCTCCTGTCCTCATTGCCCGCTTCCTCCTGCACCTTGGCGCGACGCCTCGTGCCATCGGCGTGCGCTGTGACTGGCAGCCATGAGACGGCATCGCCGCCGCCCTGGCGCCGAGCCCCATCCGAGCGTCCACAAACCCCCGGCTGCGTTCCGTGTGCAGGGTAAGTGTCTGTGTGGAGGGTAAGCCAGAACGCCACCGCCTACTTCAATCCCCTGGGATTATCAGCAGTGGCCGGAAGAGTTACAGCCTAACCCTGAAACAACTGCCTGACGTTGGCACCGCACTCAGCACTTCCCACAACACCCACTGTGCTTTGTGCTCGCCCGCTTCGGCAGATGCTGCCGCTGGAGCGGCCGGTGTCTGGTGGCGTGGTGCTTACTGTGCACGCGATTCATGGCGTCGGGCGCTTTGGCAGCTGTTGCTGGAACACCTGGAATGTCTGGTGGCGCGGCATGAGAAGTCGCTCAAGATGACCGTGGTGAAGCGCCAGGCGGCCGCCCAGCAGGGCGTCTCCTCCGAGGCCGAGGTGCTCAAGGCGCTCAAGAGCCTGTTCGAGCACCACAAGGCGCTGGACGAGCGCGTCCGGGACCGGCTGCGAGTCGCGCTCGAGAAGAACAACGCGCTGGAGGAGGAGCTCAATAACACCAAGGACGAGGTACGGTCCGGGGCTGCACGAGTCCGAGATTGGATCGCCCTGTGTCTGATTTGATAAAATATTATGTGTCTGTTCTGTTCGTCGTCCGGCCCGCTGTCTGGACGGGTAGTGTCTTGTGAGTCTCGGTGGGAGGCGTTCTGAAGTTGACTTAGCCGTGGCCCCGCAGTGCGGACTGCCGTCCACTGGGCCGACTCGACCCAACCCGACCTGACCTGACCTGACTTGACCTGACTATCTGATCTGATCTGATCTGATCTGACCTGATCTGACCTGACCTGACCTGACCTGACCTTGAGCTAACCACTGTCCTCCCGCCGCCAGCTGAACTGGGTGAAGCTGGGCAAGCTGGAGGCCAAGCCGGCGCCGGCGGCTCCGGACGCCGGCGGCGACGCCGAGTCGGAGGCGCCGTCCAACGGGCACCCGGCCGGCGCCGGCGGCTCGCTCACCAACGGCGGCATCGAGGCGGTGGCCGAGGAGGCGGCCGCCGAGCTGCGCAAGATCATCGAGATCCAGGTGAGCGGCGGCAGCCGGGCGCCGGCTCCGGCTCCGGGACTCGGCTGCGCTGACCGGACGGCGGCCGCGGGCTGGCCGGGCGGCGGCCGACGGCCTGCTGTTTGGTGGGCGCCCCGTGTTAGCGGTGTGGACAGCCGCTGTTCGGGTGGACGGTTCTGGTTAGTTAGTGAACCGCTATTCTGGTGATTAGTTTGTGAAAGACTGTCGCCGACGGCTGGTTTTTGTCCCTGTCAGAGTGCGTAGACGCCTCGTCCATTTGATGGATCGAGATCCACGCCCGTCAGTATGTTGATAAAAATGAATTGATTGGCGTAAGACAGCCAATTGATTGTTTAGTTAACATTCCCAGATGTTGCTATGCTAACCAGTCATGAACGATTACTGACGATTGGATGCTCGGGGTCACGCGGCGCTCGTGCGTTAGAGGTGGCCGACGAGCGGCGACCGGCCGCCGGGGGCCGCGCGACAACCCACACTTCCACGCAGGCCACGTTTTGGCAACACGCCCCACCGACACCCGGGGGTCCGACATGGCGTGCCGTAGCGGGTCGGGCTCTCACTTTGCGTCGGATGTGAGTGTGCATTGTTATCGCCGTTGGCGCGCCCTAGAGAGCTGGCTCCAGCGGCGCCACCCCAGGCGGCCGAGCGAGCTGGCTCGTGCGGCGTCTGTTAAACACGGCACGCACCGGCCATGGTGGCTGCTGCGGCTCAACGCTCTGCGGAAGGCGACGATGCCGATCTGGCGTGGATGCGATGGGTATTGGTCGTTCACAGCGCTGGATGCCGCGGCCTCCTGAGATAAATGTGGGCAGCAATGCGGCTGATGGATGAGATGCGAGAGGAACAACGATATACGCTGTCGAGAGCCCTGGAGTTCGGTGTGCCTCCGGCCTCGGCCCTCCCCGAGCCGACCCCGGCCACCCGGGGTGGCCCCGGCCCCCGCGGGCTGGCCCCGGCCGCCCCGGGCCGTGCGCACGCCGTGCCGACGCCGCTGCTAGTGCGCCACGCGCCGCGGCCCAACCTGCTCCGCTCCAACCATAACGTGGCCTGTCAAACACGATTGGCGCCGGGCGGGCAGAGTGTGGCGGGGCGCTGGGCCAGCGGAGGGCCGGCCGGCGCGTGCCAGCGGCCGCCCGGCGCGGCCCGCTCCCACGGACAGCACTGCTGGCTGACGCCGTTTTCGGACGAGCGCCGGCGGCCCGGCTTTGATGCTGCCTTCAGGCCGTGACAGCGCCCGTCTAGGCAGCGGCGGCGCCTGGCTGGATGTGTCAGGAGCGGTGGCCTTCGGTGTACCTGGTGTGCAGTGTCCCCCCCCCCGCCGTTCCGGACTGAGGCCGGCGGGGTGGCGTGCTGACGTTCACAGCAGGGGTGCCGTGCCGTTGCGTGCCACCTGAAGATCGGTTGCTGACGATATGAGCATTAAACAACCGCAGATTGTCCGTTGATGGCCAAACAGAGAGTCCAGCGGGCGAGGACGTCCCATTGGTCGGAATGGGGCGCCGTACAAGGCGAGACCGGCTTATGTCGGCTCAGTATCCTCCACTGGATGCTAACCGGACAGATGCGACGCGGTGGAACAACTGGCACATTGAGCATGGCCAGTGATGGCGTACGTTTACCTGGCTAGAACTCCGTTGGGGTATTTCGCGCTGTCCAAACGACACCCGTGACCTAAGATAGTTTTTATTAGCTGAACGTGTCGCCCTCAAATATTCATTTGACGGCTACTTGCGCCTATTGAGATGCGTGAGCGGGCAGGAGCACGTGCAGCCGGCTGGTGGGACGGCTTGGATTAAGTCCGCCACTGGCCCGGTACGGCAGCAGACGACTGGCGACGAGCCCCGCCGGCGAGTCCGGCTCCCAGTCGTGTGTTTGTATGCGTGTGTCGCCAAACGGCCGGTGAAATCGCCGCATTCCGGCCATCGCGGCGGGAGAGACGCCGCGCCGAGGCGTCGGCATTCCTCTCGTGGTCGGGAGGGCTTCCCATTAGGCGCCGGCCGGGTTACGTGCCGCCGCTGCGGCCGGCCGGCGCGTGCGGCGCTCCTGGCGCGGCGACCGCTGCCACCCCGGCATACACCCGCTCGGTCTGCGGGCGGCCGAGGCTTGTGTCCGGCAGAGGCAGTGTCCGGTGTGGCAGTCAGTGACTGTCGACCATCCCGCAGTGCCCGTCCTTCCTGCCAGGGCGAGGGCAGGCGACGCCGTGTAGCCTCAGCTGCTGAGTGTGTCATAAAGCCTCAATGGCACACGACTGTCGACCATGCGGTGACGGGATTCCGGTATTCGTGTCGCGCTGCCATTTATAGCGTGCGGTTTTTTGTGGGCGTCTCACCGCGTGGCGGGTGCCCAGGGCTCACGTGGGTATGCCGTCTGCTACATGGGAGAACTAGGTCCGCTTATCTGGCGACAACAACGGCCTTTACGTTACAGGTTGTTACTGATGTTGTTGTCTTCTGTTGTGCTTATCAGATGTAAATAATTAAGGACGAGATGCGCCGCGGTACCAGACATCAATCACTCACGCAGTGTAGGCACTTTCACTCACCAAGAAACAGGGAGCTTCGTCTCGGCGCTGTCGGCCCTGCGCTGCGCCGCCGGTGTGCTTGCGGACGACAGGTCCATACGTTCGTGGTGGTGCGTGGCCGCCAGTGCCCCGCGCCACGCTGTCCAGCGCGCCGCCACTGGACACGGCCCTCTCGCCACATAATTGGTCAGCCCATCATGCAGAGACAGATCTACTTGTGAATGGAGCAGACGGCGGTCCAGTGGCGTGTTGGTGAGGGGGCTGGCGTTGACCTCGACCCCGCACCGTGCCGAGGCGGACCCAACGGCCGCTGCACCTCCCTGGAGCGCACCGTCTCTCGTCAGCCGTGCTGGGTGTTGTTCCCCCGTCCCAACAGCGCGCGTGGTGTATCCTTTTAGAAGGACGCCCTGTCACTGTGATAGGCGTAGCTTGGCAGAGTTTCCTCTCGGGTGGCAGCGTACAGTACACGGGCGTGCCGTGGCCCAGGCTGTAGCGGACCACCGCCGGTGGAGCGGGCGGCACGCACCGCCTGAACCGTTTCGGCGGTGGTCGCGGCTGAGACGACACTGACGGCCATGTCGGTGCCGTCTGCGAGACGAACGGGGACGCTGCGGTGTCAGAGGCGCGGCCAGGACGGAGCGGACGGTACCACCCTGCCCCCCCCCCCCCTCCGGACATGTGCAGTCGTCCGCGTGGTGTCGGCCGTTGCCGCCGTCGCCACCGGCGGCGCCGGCTCTGACGGCTGCCGCCCGCGACAGGCCGGCGACCGGGCGGCCGTTTGCTCGAGGCGCGCCCCATCGCACTCTCGCAGCCTAATGGGCGCATGCTTTGCACAGGCGACGGCGCCGGCGGCGGTGGTCGGGCGATGTCTGCCCCCTCCCCCTTACCATCAACAGGCAAACAGCGGCCTGACCCGGTGGCACCGGTCGCCTCGGCGGCGGGCGAGCCGGCGTCACTGAGGGGATCTCGGCCGGCCGGCCAGAGCTTGGTCCAGCGGGGCGGCTCTGTTGGCCGTGCCTCGGGCGCCAGTGGCTGCCGGGGCGCCGCCACAGACCCGATGGCTTTGTTCCGCCGCTGCCGGGCCGCTCGCAGCTCGCTGTGTGGCGTTGAGTTACTGTGCTGCTGAGCCCCATCGAACGCCCGACTGGCGGAAGCGCTCGAGCCTTTCCGAAAACTCGACACGTGATGGTCGATCCTCGGGGCAGACTCTTCCTCGAATACTGTAACTTGGCAGCGGCCTCCAGTAAAGTGCGGAAATTTAGCCGGCCAGCCATTTTTCAGCTGCAGGGCTAATCTAGACGCATATTGATACTGGCACATTTTACCGGTCCGCTGCAAGGCCGCTTGTCCTTAAACAGACAGGCGCATGATTGAGAGGCCGCTCGTTTCCCCGTAACACGCGTCTGCTGACCACACCGGCAGCGTTAGCCCGAGAGCGTGATGCACAACAGTCCACTTGACGGTAAATTGGCCTGGCCGCTCGAGGCAGCTCGTCACGTGTTGGTTGGCCGGGCGCCGGTAAACACATCACCGGCGAAGCATCGCCGGCCACGCCGTCCAGTGCACATCCATGACAGCCGTTGGCCTGTGCGGAACCAACGGTGGCCACCGGCGGCCTCCCGCCGGGCGCGCCGTGACAGTGCAGCCACCGCGCGCCCCGGCGCGGGTGATTAATCCGCTGCACCTCCGTCGGCCTGGCGACGGCCGCGCCCGTGCTGTGGCCCGGACGGGCGCGGCGCCCTGGCCGGGACTGGCGCGGCGGCGCCGCCGCGCTCGCCGGCCCGCACAGCACCGGCTTCAGACGCACCTCGGCCAGCCACCGGCCGCCGGCGCCGGCGGCAGCGCTGTTTGGCCAGAGTGCGATCCGGCCGTGTAAACAGTCGATCAGCGCGCCGATCGGTGCATCGATCTGCCGGCCGGAAGTGGTGCCGCCCGTCGGCCCGCCCGTCGGTCCAGCCGACCGACGGTCGGTCGTCCCCGGCCTTGGATGTCACGCATCGCCACCCCCGGGCGGAGACCGCCTCCCCCCCCCCCCCCCCCCCCCCCACCTCCGCCTCGTGAACAGGGACTGAGACCGTCTCTCCCCTCCCTTCTGAACAGGGACCTCCACCGTCTCTTCCCCCGTTATTGGACAGGACGGACACCGCCTCACCCCCGCTCCCCTTTGAACAGGAACCTTCACCGCCTTTCTCCCCCCCCCCCCCCTCCTCCCCCCCGTTCTGAACAGCGACCTCCGCCGCCTCTCCCCATGCCCATGATCACAGACCCATCCCGCCTCGCTCCTTCCCCCTCTCCGCCCCCCCCCCCCCCCCCCCTGAAGAGACACAGCCCCGTCTTCTCGCCTGCGAACGGAGCGAGGCCCTGTCTACCCGCTCGCCCCTTGTCTGCCCGTCTGCTTGTCTGCGTATGTGCCCATCCTACTATCTGTCTGCACTGGCTCGAGCACCCGTTTCCCGGCGTCGTTGTGTCCCGTTGCCCGTGTTTGTCTATCCATCAGTCCGTCCATCAGGTGTCCGGCCCTGTGTCCCCGTCTGCCCGCCAGCGGACCTGTCCGCACAGGCACCGCCGCCACCGCCGCCGCCGCTGCGGCCGCTGGAATGACGTTGTTGTCGGTAATCTGATTAAGGGAGTGGCCTTTGTGTCGCCGCCGTGCTCCAAACATTCCGTCACCTGACGTGTCAACAAAGACAACGGCCGCCCGCCGGGGCATGCCTCGCAAGTCGGATTATGCTGTTTGGCAAATGAGCTCCACTTGGGAAGGCGGCACCACGCACGGAGAAGCACGGCATGAAGTTGCCATTTCTGGGCGCAACTTGCGAAGCGGTGGCGGGCGCGCTGGCGTGGCGGCGTGGCGGCTCGGCGCGATCAGCGGCATTCAAATATGTTGATCACGGCAGTCGGGCGGCTGGAGTTGGGCTGCCTGCGGGGCGCTCCCTCAGTGGTGGGGAAGGCTGCCGCGGTCGTGTATACCGGCTGGCTGGCTGGCTGGCTGGTTTGTTGAGATTGTCCGACCCACTCTGATGTGAGTCATGACAGGCTGACCTGCCTGGTCTGTGGCGCGCAGCCGGCGGGCCCAGCTGCGACCAGCAGCAGTGTCCACCGACGGATGTCAGTGACGCCGCACTTCATCTCCGGCGCCAATTTCTGAGATCACCCTGTGGTGTGGAGATCTGGGAATGATTGCTGAGATCGAGCCCGGGAGTCCGCTTCCACCCGCCCCGACCGCCGCCCGGACGGCGTGTCGGCCGCACGACGCGCCCGGCTGGGGCCCGCCCCTCCGCTCCGCCGCCCCGGTGACACGCCTCGGTCGTCAGCGGCGACGCCGCGCCGGCCGTCTCCGGAGCCGCCGCCCACCTCTCGGCCGACGGCCTGCCGGCTTTGTCCGCCAGCGCCGGCCGTCTCCGGCGCGCCGGCCGCGCGGCACGGCCGCATTCACGTGGCGCGGCCGGCGCCGGCCGCGCCCGCATTGTTGCCGCCGCGCCGGCCCGGTTTTTGCTGCCGCGCCGGCTGGCTGCTACGTGCAAACGGCCCGAGCCGCGCTGAATGGAGCCGCGGTAAATGAGAGCGACAGGGACGGTGCTCGACGGAGCTGCGGGGGGAGGGAGCGGTGCTGCATGGTGCGCCGGTAGCTGACGGTGGGAACGACGCTGAGTGGTGCGGTGGTAAATGTTGACGACGGGAACGGCGCTGAATGATGCTGTGGCGACAACGAAAACTTTGTTAAATGTTGCCGCGGTACATAAGTCTGGCGGGAACGGTGCTGACTGATGCTGTGACAATAGCGAGAACTTTGCTGAATGGTGCTACGGTACATAAGCGTGGCGGGAACGGTGGTGACTGATGCTGTGCCAACAGCGAGAACTTTGTTAAATGTTGCCGTGGCGCATAAGCGTGGCGGGAACGGTGGTCACTGGTGCTGTGGCAACAGCGAGAACTTTGTTTAATGTTTCCGCGGCACATAAGCGTGGCGGGAACGGTGCTGACTGATGCTATGGCAACAGCGAGAACTTTGCGCAATGGTGCTGCGGTACATAAGCGTGGCGGGAACGGTGCTGGTTGATGCTGTGGCAACAGCAAGAGCTTTGTTGAATGGTGCTGCGGTACATAAGTGGCAGGAACGGTGCCTACTGATGCTGGGGTAAACAAGGGTGGCGGGAACTAACCTGAAGGTTCTCTTGCGGATGATAACTGTGGGAACGCACAACAATGACCTGTGGGGACGTAGATGAATGAACGGTGGTAGATGAGAGCGCTTGGAGCTGAGATAGACGGTTCGCAGGCCGATTGCAACGGCGTGAGCGGAAGGGAATGGTGCGTTGCTGAATGAGAGCGAAGAAACGGCCATGAATGTCGTGGTAAATGATATCGCCTTGGTGTGTTGGCTTCTGTTTCAGGCTGGAATGGGCTTGAATTCAGCGCTGGTAAACGATACGGAAGGAGACGGTATGAATGACGCATGATTGGATCAAAATGACTGGATCGTAACTGGACGTCATGCAGGCGGGGTAAGGGGCGGGCACGCCGGCCTGGCCCGACACCAGCGTGTCGCCGCCGGTGCCCCAGTGCCGGTACTCCGGGCGGCCGTGCGATCAGTGTCAGCGGTTCCAAGTTCCGTCAGCTAATTAAAAGCGGCCTGAACAGCGGTAAATTACGGAGTGGAAATTGAGAGCGATGCCGACGGCACCCGATGCCCGTCATGCCGTGCCGCAAAGGGAGCCGCGGCACGAACCGACCGCAGCCCCGCCGGAATCGGCCGTAATGACACCGGACGGCTGTAATGACACCAATCGGACGGTGTGCACTGCATGCATGGGGCGAATGCCCGGCTGGCCGGCATGGAGCCGTGCGAACGCTCTGGTGAGCCCGGTAGACGAGACTTTGAGGAGACTGTCAGGCTGAGACGGAGACTGATGCTGCCAGGCACGGGGGTGATGCAGGTCTACGGACCAACCTCGCGCCGGAAGCCTGGCACCAATCCGTAGTGACTTCAGGGTCGTGGTGTCGGAGTGGACTTGAGGGCGGGTGCAGAGTATAGACGCGTTGGAAGTGCGGAGCGGCATGATGATGATGATAATAACTGGGGCCAGAGGCGCGCCGACGGCCGGGGTCATTGTCCGCCCAGCGGAACGACTGGACGCGCTTGTTTTGAGTCATGTTTTAGCTTGCGCGCGCTTATGGTCAGCCCACCTCGTCATCCGCCGCAGCTTCCGGTTCGGGTTTGCCCGTGAATAACCGCTCACTGAGGCGTCGCTTGAGCACGAGCGGGCCCCTGCAGCCGGGGTACGCACCCGACCAGCACCAGCAGTGTTTGTTGTGACGATCCCCGACAGACGACTGACAAGACAGCGGTCTGCATCGTGTTGCCGTCACCGCCGTGCGTCATGCGTCCGGAATGGCGGTCGATGCGTGACGAGGCGGGTGTTGGCGCCGCGCGAGCGGCGCTCGCGAAGTCTGGCCGCGTGTCGGCCGTCGGCGCGTACGACGTCCGGCGTTGTCGGCCGTCGCCGCTCGGTGCACCTCATTTATCACGCGCGCCGGACAGTGCGTGGTGTTGTGTGTTGTTGAGTGCGGGCCTCTCTCGCCTCGGCCGGCCTGGCCGTGTTGACTGTGGTCGGCGTTGTTCGCCTGTCGAACGCGTGCGTGTGGTCACGCGTCGGCCGTCTGGCCCGCAGACCACCGAGATCACCGCCTCCCAGCGGCGCGTCTTGGAACTACAGACGCGCGTCGCCGAGCTAGAGGACGCACTGGCGCGCTGCCAGAAGGACCTGGCTAAGGAGCGCGACGTCACCAGCAAGCTGCAGCGGGACCTGAAGGAGAACAACGCCCAGAAGCTGGACCAGGTGCAGGCGCGGCGGGTGGCCGATCGCGGGCCGCCGGCCGGTGGGCTAGGCACGAGACGGACTGCCAGTATACTTCTGTTCTCGGGAAAACGGTACAGGTCCTCGTGCCATGTCCACCGGGAGGGCGAACATCGTGTCGCGCCATATAGACGGGTGCGGGAGAGTTTACATGGACACACGCTGCGCTGAACGACCACCGAGACGTTTGTGACTTCCCCACATGCGCTTTCATTCTTAACACGTGCTTCCTTGTAATCGCCAAACGCCGACGACGCCGCTGTCTGTGTCTCCACGTCTGTATGGCCAGCTGCCGACGGCTCTGACGAGCGGCCGGCGGCCGCCCCGGCAGGAGGAGCGAATCGCCACGCTGGAGCAGCGGTACCTGAACGCTCAGCGTGAGTCGACGGCGCTACGCGACAACGGCGAGAAGCTCGAGGAGGAGCTCAAGAACAAGGAGGCGCAGCTCAAGCTGCAGAACGAGAAGATCCTGGCTATCCAGGAGAAGCTGGAGCTGACGGAGCAGAAGCTGGCGCAGTACTCGAAGCTGCCGGACGTGGAGGAGGAGCTGCGCCGGAGGATGGCAGCCCTGACGCAGGTGGGCCGCCGCGCAGGGCGAGCGGGATGGGACAGGGCGCTGTGGAGCGGCCTGTGGACTGGGGTCGGGGCAGTCTGCTGCCCGCTGTTCTGGACCGGACACCTCCCCCGCGAGACTGATACAGACATGTTTGTTGGTACGGGGTATCCACAATTGGCATTGGTTGTACGTTTACCTGACAAAATGCCATATCGTGTGGGTCATGTTGCCTGTTGTATCAAGGCCATGATGGTGCAGGTGGTGCTCACGTGATTGCACCAAATCGATCCCTCTTTTCATTGAAATGACAGGTTGTGTTATTGTGTTGCCGAGTCGGCGCTCGCCATCATTTCGCGTTTCCGTGCGGGAAGGTCCGTGGTTGTGGCACTATGACGCGGCCTTGTGGCGGGTCGCTGACCCGGCCGTGTGCGCAGGCGCAGGAGCGTCACGGCTCGGCCGAGGACCGGATCGGCCGGCTCGAGTCCCAGCTGGAGGAGAAGGGCAGCGAGGTGATCCGCATGGCGCAGCGGCTCAAGATGAACGAGGAGCACAACGCCCGCCTCTCGGCCACCGTCGACAAACTGCTCTCCGGTGAGGGGAGAGAGGGAGCGAGAGACGGCAGGGGACACGGAGCGTTGAGGGTGTTGTAGGAGCAGCAGCTGGTCGTGCGCAGGACTCCTAGTGCGCTGGTGAATCCGACTTTTGGCCCGGACCGGACCAGTCGGAGCTGGGTATGCATTTGTGCGTGCGTCTCCATGACACGGCCGGCGCCCCCGTTGTATCACAAGATGCGAAACGGTCTGGAGTGTTTGCGGCGTGTTGTACGCGGGCACGTTGGAGCAGTGCGGACCCGGCCGATGGGGTCAGGGACGTCTCCGGACTGGGCCTCGCTGGGATGGGGTCAGCGGCTGCCGTCGGCAGGCTGACGCGCCTCACCGCCCCATCCCCCTCGGTCGCCAGAGTCTAACGAGCGGCTCCAGCTGCACCTGAAGGAGCGCATGACGGCGCTCGAGGAGAAGAACTCGCTGACCCAGGAGCTGGACCACACCCGCAAGGTGCTGGAGGACATGCAGCTGGAGAAGGTAGGCTGGTGGGGCGCCGTCCAGCTCCACGCACTGGGTCCAGGAGCGCGCCCGGGCTCCGCCGACGTTCCACGGAAGCGGGAGAGCGGGCCTGGGTGGCTGACGGGTTGTTGGTGATGCCACTGAGGTGGCGGTCTACACTGGCGTTGCCGACGTTTGCCCCCGGTATCGGATCAAAGTCGTTGGAGAATATCCAAGATAGTGTGCTGTAGACAGTCAATAACTTGGTCTCAAGTCATCTAACACGCGAGCGTTTAAAATATAATGCAAAATGTTTTGCTTTTGGCGTTCAGAGAACATCAGGATGTAGCCATCAGTAAAGCACCTAAGCGAGAACCCTGGTAGCAAATGTGTTCTTGCTGCTATTATTTTGAGAAAACAGCACTCATAACCACCTCACATTTACAGTTGATTGGCGGGTTGCGTTTTTGCATGTTCAGTATTTCAATTTTTATAGTCATCTAGCATAATTATGGCATTGGCCTATAGTATAGGTGTACATATGTTGAACATGAATACTTTATTTTTAGCATTGGCGCAAGGCATGAAATTTAGGATTTTGAAATTTAAGTTTGATGCATTGTTATGACGAGTTAATATCCAGCATATAGCATGTGAACCTATTTGCTTGCTTGCACCGATCAACTGCTACCGCCGGTCACCATGAATGCTAACCGTTCTGTTTCGATATTGACACCATGCTGCCCTGACGTCCTGTGTTTGGTTCCGGGTATGCTCTGAGCCACATTTTGTTCGACACCCACATTAATACACGTAGCCAGCTATCCTTCTTTTGACAGGGCTGGCTGAATGGCACGCGCTCCGTTGTCACCGGTCGCTGCGGTTTGGTTGTTTGTTGGCGCGGAGGGCAGAGCGGGCTGTGGGTCTGCCGCCTGGCTTGGCCTGGCCTGCTGGCTCCCGCACGCCGTCCGTCCGCCTGAGTGTGTGCGGCCCACCGGTGGTGTCCGGCAGCGCCGCCGGACGGGGCGCACCAGCCGCGGCCGGCACGGCGCTCTGCCGGCTGCCGGGCCGCGCTCCGGCCGCTGACGGCGCCTCTCCCCCAGGCGAGGATGACAGGGCAGCTGGGTCGGCTGCAGCGCGAGGTGGAGTCGGCGCAGCAGGCGGCGCCGCCGGCGCAGCCGCCGCCGGCGCAGCAGCCGCAGTCTCAGCTCCCCCAGCAGGCGTTCCTGGTGACGGGCGAGCCGTGAGTACGGCCGGCCGCGCGCGCCGCCGCCGCCGCCCTCTCGCCTTCTGCACCGCATGCCGCCGCCCGCGCTGTGTGTCCGCGTGCGCCCCACTGACGGCACGGGGTGCGGCCGCGCAGGGCGGACTCCTGCAGGAGATGTCCAAGCTGCACCTGGACATGGAGGCGATGAAGCAGCAGATGCTCACCCAGGAGATCGCCTACAACATCCAGCAGACGGAAGCGCTGACCAGGTGCGCCGGCGCCGCGCGGGCGGGTCACGCGCGCTCGCCGCCGGGGCCCCGACGCGGCGCACCGACCAGGAGAAGCCGGAGGGACGCCAGGGCAGAGCAGGGCTGCCTGGCTGAGATCACTTGCGACGTGTTCGTGGGATGCCGAGGGCTATAATTATATTTGCGCACACGGCCGGTGCACGCGGGAACGTTTCGGTGGGCGGGATGTTGGGGTCTAGCTTTTCCTTCTGAATACTCTGGCTAGTCGCAGCGATCTTCTAGACAGCTTCACAGAGTAGTGGCCGAGTGGTCAGGTAGCGGTGTGGCGCGCGCCGCGCCGTTGAGGTATGTATGGCGGCCCGTGCGTCCTATAACTGTCCTGTTCCGCCGGCCGGACGGCCGACCTCTGGCGGTCGGCGCTGTCGGCTGCCCCAGGTGAGTGGTCTTAGAGCCGGCCTGCCGCGGTCTGCAGCCGGCCGGTCGGGGGCCGCCGCTGGCGCGTCCGTTCTCACGGGGCTGAGACGCTCGCCGACCGGCCGGCCGCCGCCCGCGGCTCCGGCTGTGCCGCCCCCCCCCCCCGTCCCGACACCTCTGCACCACTGCACCACTGCACCACTGCACCAGCTGGCGCCGGCGGCCCGGACTCTCCGTCACTCCCCCAACACCACTGCACTAGCTAGCGCCCGCGTCCGGGCCCGTAGATGTGCCGGTCGGCCGGCACCGTCGTGCCAGCACGCTCACTCACGCTTGGTAGCTCGTCTCTCACGCCGCCCGCGGGCCTCCGCCCCTGCACCGTATCATCCATCTCTGCTCACGGCTTGTCTGTCGCGTGTAACTGAGCGTCAATGAGGCTCGCCTCCGCGTGTTTGAATCGTGTTGAGTACGGCCTCGGCCCTGCCGCCGGTCTCGTGTCACCACGCGGCCGTGGCGTCCTCGTGGCGTGGGTGCCGCGGCTCCATGCCGTCCCGGTGCCCCGCCTCACCGCGCGCCCGTCGCCGCAGGAATCTGTCGCCGAGCGGCGGCGGCGCGGCCGGCGAGCCGGCCGGCTTTGTGCGCTCGTCGAGCCGCGGCAGCTTCGACGCGCGCTCGCTGCCGCGCCGGCCGGGCTCGCGGCTGGCGGCCGCGGCGGCCGGCGCCGCCGACAAGCTCGACGGCGAGTGGGAGGGCGCTGCCGCCGCCGCCGCCGCCGGCTACGACGAGGACGAGGTGGAGGACGCCGAGAGCATCTTCTCGACGCTGTCGCCCACCGGCCACACAGATGCGCAGACGCTGGCCATCATGCTGCAGGACCAGCTGGACGCCATCAACAACGAGATCAGGTGCGCCTCTGCCTGCTGACTGGTGGGAGTGGGAGGGCGGTACTGCTCTCGGGCGGTCACAAGTCACAAGTTAGTGTTTTCAGCAACCATTCCAACGTGTGGGTTAGTGTTAACCCCGGTCACAGAACATGGCTCAGAAGCAAAATAGAACTACGCGCCGGGATTTTCAGCGGCAAAGCAGGTCAACGACGCAAGCCAGATTCAACGTGAGGCTTGGTTTTCCTCGTCCATGGCTTACGTACTTCGCACCTTGGAACGCGCCGACTCAGTCAGCGGCGTGCTGCGTCTGCATCTGTTGTGGTGCCGGACGCTGGATCGCCGGCTGTGACTGTGCGGCCAGGCGGTCCGGCGGTCCGGCGGTCCTGCATTCCTGCATTCCTGCAGTCCTGCAGTCCTGCAGTCGGCCTGACGCCGCCCCCGCGCCGCGTCCCCAGGATGATCCAGGAGGAGAAGCAGAACACGGAGCTGCGTGCCGAGGAGCTGGAGTCGCGCGTCGGCAGCGTGGATCACTTGAACCTGCTGTCGCGCTCGGGCCGCCTCTCGCCGCCGCTTTCGGGCCGGTCCACGCCCAAGTCGGCGCTGTCGCCGCAGCGCGCCGAGGCGCTCATGAAGTACCACACGGTGAGCAGCGGCGCGGCGGACCGCCGGCCGCCGCCGCCGGCCCCGTCTCCGTCCCCGGTCCGCGCGCGCGCCGGGGCCGGAGGCGGCGCAGAACGGAGTGGCGGCAGCAGTCTGCTTGCTGCCAAGTTGTGCTCGCTTCTCTAGCCGGCTGAAGTGCTCGTTTGGTTCGGGTTGGTGGGTGCACTGGACGGGGAGAGCGCGGGGAGTTGGTGGCTTGACGGCTGTTCCAAGTTTTATAACCCGTCAACAGGGGCATGCTTAAAACCCTTCAGTCACCTGGGCTGAAGGGAATCGATGAAGTCTGTTGGAATCGATAATGGGTACTAGCTGCCATGTTCCATCTATCTGTATGCATGTGGGCTTGGGGAAAAGGACCTGAAATGTGCACTGAGCCGTCCCTTTCGGTTACGAAAAGTCCGGATCCACCACACGGTCTTCTGCTTGCTTTCACTGTCGGGACTTGTTAGGGCTTGTAGGATAGGCTCCAGAGCACTTAGGCTCTGGTATAGACGGCGTTAGTAGCTTAGTGCCTTACGGTCGATCGGACCAGCTTCGCTATGTCTGTGTTTCACACCGCACCACGTGTATGGATAGCCGTAGACTAACGCTGTTGTGTGTGCGTGTGTGCGTGTCTGTGCGTGTGTGCGCGCGTGCGTGGGTGACCTGCCAGGCCCCTGCCGGGATGTCCCCCGCCATGCTGTACGGGCCGCACGGGCTGGAAGGACAGCGGTCGACTCCGGTGAGTGCCCCCTCCCCCTCCCTTCCCCTGCACGCCTGGCATGCCGGCGGGCGGCCCGGCCTCACGCCGCCGCCATGTTGTAGCGCCGTGTAGACTGCGGTGCTCGCTGACAGTCGCCGCTGGGGTCTGGGGGAGCTCGGGGCACGCTGGGCGCGCTGGGTGCCCGGTGGTGGATGGAGCCTCGCAGCGGAGCCCATCGTGACAGCGTACCTTAAGTGCGGTCGTGCGAGCTCGCACGTGCCACGACAGGGGTGCCGCTTCGCTGAGTGGAGGCTGCTTGCAACGGTGCCAATCAATTCGTCGATGTTTCCACTTTGTACGTTGAGTGAAGTGATTCGTGTCTGTGTTTGTGTGTATGTGTATGTGTCGTCGTGCTGGCATGCGACCGGGAGTGCGCTGTGCACAGCCCTCAGTCGTGTAGGTCAAGTCCCAGCGGGCGGGACACGTGTGGTACGCCCACCCATGCAGCAACGCCCGCCTGTGTGGTCACGCCGTCGCGGCGTCTGACCGGGCGCGCGCGCCGCTTCTGCCGCAGAAGACGGTGGCCGACGGCAGCCCGCCAGCCATGCGCTGTCAACGCTTCCAGGCGTACAACCCGGACGACAACCTGAGGTGAGAGCGGTGTGTCGCGGCCAGTCTGCGTGCCTGGTGTGTCCGGCCTGCGCCGGCCCCGTCTGCCGCTCACCCCGGCGTGCGGAGGCCGGGCGCCGCTGCTCTCCGCTGTCTGGCGTGCCCCGGCCGATTAACAGTGTCCCCGCGTCTCCGCCGGCGTCCGGGCTGTAATGAATAACCCTCTTAGCCGTAACTGAGTTAGCCGGCGCCGGCTCCTGTACAGCTCTCTGGTCGCAGTGTCCCATTAATTCGACTAACTGGCGGCGGCGTCGCGCTCGCGCGGCGGCTGCTCGCCGCACGTGCGGCGCGCGGTGGCGCGCGCCAGTGTGCGGCCGCCGCAGCACTAACCGTCCGGCCCGGCCCGGCCCGCCCGCTGCCGACCGTCTGCCTGTAGCCGCTCGCTGCCGCACAACGCCACTATGCGGGACCCCTCGACGATCCCGGGCCGCGGCCTGAGCGCCCTCCACCCGGAGCACGCGCAGTTCATCAGGTGCAGTACCGCCGCGCGCCGCCGGCCCGGCCCGGCCTCCTCGGCCGCTGCGGCAGCCGGCCGTGGACACGGTGGGGTCTCGGGTGTGGCATGCTGGGCGCGGGCGACGCTACGGTGCGGGTGGTTTGAGCATTGACAACATTGATCCCCGATGTATTTGGTGGCGCCTCATCGGATGACCAGTGTGGACAATAGGACAACAGCCTGGCCTGGCCTCCGCAAACGTAATGCAGTATTTTGGTTCGGCTTGAGCATTAACATTGCTGTGATACTGGTAAGCACCGTCGTGCGTGCGTCGCGAAAGCTATGCTGATGAGTCCGGAGGTAGACGGTAGTCCGGAGTCCGGGGGAAGGAGACGGTGACTTCAGGCTGTACTCGTATAAGCAAAAAACAGACCCGAGGAAGAGAAGCTTGGGATCATTGTGTCAGTCCCGGGCCGCCCTGTTACTGGTCTGTACACAAGACGGTCCTGAGCGCTGTTATCGGGCGGTGGCCGCTAGCGGGCCGTTAGCTCTCGCACGAGCCCAGCGTCCTGTCGCGGCCTGGATTGGCGCTCGGAATGGCGCCGCGTCGCACATTTGCTGATCAGACACCAGCTGCCTGCGACAGACCGCTTCGTTGCGGCTTTCACCATAGGAACGCTGTCCGTCGGCGGCCGCCACGGCCGGTCCGCCTGGATCTGGGGCTGCGAGTGTCCCCGTGACCAGCGGCACCGTCAGGCGGACAGTCCCGGGACACAGGGATAGACTGTGTCCCGCCTATCTGGTGGACGTGGCAGACCAGCCGCTGGTGTGCTGTTCGGACGCGTGTGGTCCAGCGGACGGGCTCAGCTCCGCGCCTCTGACCGGCGTGTCAGCACTGCCGGACGGGCTCAGCTCCGCGCCTCTGACCGGCGTGTCAGCACCGCTGGACGGGCTCAGCTCCGCTCCCCTGACCGGCGTGTCAGCACTGCCGGACGGGCTCAGCTCCGCGCCTCTGACCGGCGTGTCAGCACCGCTGGACGGGCTCAGCTCCGCTTCCCCTGACCGGCGTGTCAGCACTGCCGGACGGGCTCAGCTCCGCGCCTCTGACCAACGTGTCAGCACTGCCGGACGGGCTCAGCTCCGCTCCTCTGACCGGCGTGCCAGCTCCGCGCCTCTGACCGGCGTGTCATCACCGCTGGACGGGCTCAGCTCCGCGCCTCTGACCGACGTGTCAGCACCGCTGGACGGGGTCAGCTCCGCTCCTCTGACCGGCGTATCAGCACCGCTGGACGGGCTCCGCTCCGCGCCTCTGACCGACGTGTCAGCACTGCTGCTCCATGCAGCGTCCCGGCGGCCGTCTGAACCCTTCTTCGAAGCGCCCGGCCCCGGCCCGGCTGCAGCCGGTCTGCAGCGAAGCCTCATGTGCCCGGTCATCCCAGGACTCCGCGAGCTGGGCGTCGGTCCGGTCGGCCGCGCCAGGACGCGGCGCCGCCAGAAATGGATTCGGCCGTCTCCGAGCTGGGGCGTGGCTGACGTTTGTGACAATCGGCGGACTTTCAAACTGATTGCGTTGCGGCGTACTGGCTATCAGACGCGCCGAATTTGTCGTGCATGTTGACTCCAGGACAAGACGAGCGCAATGTGGCCAACCTCGGTCCAGCGGTCCGGGACAGTTCGGATGATCTCCGATCGGTTGAGATCGGCAGCGGACAGCCTCTGCCAGGCGAGCAGCTCCCGTCCCGGACTCCAGCCCAGTCGCCGGGCCGTTCTGGTGTCCCGGAAGCGTTCGCGCCGCCCCGTCTGGGCGGCGCGCGAGCCGGCGGTGGCCAGACGGCCGTCCGGGGGCTATCGACCGCCTGCAGGGGGCGCCGGCGCCGCGGCCAGGTCCCGTGTCAGGCGGCGCGCGGACGGCGGACGGCCGGATCGACCGCCCCTCGCCCGGCCCGGCCCGGCCCAGCCCGGCCTGGACAGTCGGGCCCCGCCGCGCCACTGTCATGGAGGCGGGGGGCTGGTCCGCCCGCCGTCGCACGCGATCCGTCGAGGTGTCCAGTCCGGACCGGTATCCCCGCAGGTAAGTGAGGTCTCTGCGAGCCCCCGGCAGGAGGGGACCCTTTGGAGGTGGCCATCCCGGACAGGTACCCCGCAGGTGGATGAGGTCACTTCAAGTCGTCGTCAGGCAGGGACCCTCTGGAGGTGCCCAGTACCGGCCAGAGCCCCCGCAAGTGGGTGAGGTCCCGCCTAGTCCTTGGCAGGCAGGGACCCTGTAGGGGTGCCCAGCACCGGCCAGAGCCTCCGGAGGTGGTTGAGGTCCCTTAGAGTCCTTGGCAGGCAGGGACCCTCCGGAGGTGTCCAGTACCGGTCAGAGCCCCCGGGGGTGGTTGAGGTTCCTCCCAAGTCTTCAGGGAGGGCAGGTGCCCTCTGGGGTGTTCAGTGCCGGTCAGGACCCCACCCGGGTGGATGTGTGTCGTTGCCAGCCCACGGCCGGCGTTGTGTCTCCCTCTGGAGGTGTCTAGGCCGGGCCAGTACCTATGCGAGGGTGGGTGTTCCCTGCGTCTCTGGCGTCGGGTACCCTCTGTGAAGTTGTGCGGCCCTGAACGACACTGATGAGATGGGTGACTGTCCGACGGCCACTCCGTCAAGAACAGATGCCCATTCCCACGCGCCGCTCTGGACGTCGGCTGTGGTGAGTGGGTGGCCCGAAATGGCACATGGTCGATAGACGCTGAACTGAACGACCGCCGGGGCTGGCTCGCCTCAAACACCCGTGGCTGATTACCGGGTGACGTTTGCCGTCCCTGGGCCTCAGCAGCACCCCGTGCCCCGGAGCGGTGGTGTGGCGGGGGATGTTATGTGCAGCCCGGGCTCGGAGTGTCAAGCCAGAGCCACGACTGCTCGGCTGGCCAGCGGTCACGGAGCCTCCCGGCCTACCACTGGGGACTAGCGCCCCGCATGTGTGCTGTCTTGAAGGGTTTGCTGGGCGGAAAGGTCAGAGAGCCGACTCCAAACTTTCTGGGCGGCGCCTTTCCCCCGAGCAGGGCAGACAAGTGTTCCTTTCCGAGGGGGTCGATACAGAACGGTCAGCGGGGTTGACGTCGTTTCTGGTGGTGCGGTCGCTCTTGCTGGCTCGGGGGTCCAGTCTCCCTGGCGGCGGCGGCTTGTCTATCCGGGTGTCCAGAGTGTGCGGATCCCTGCCACTCGCCACCCGGCCCCTCTCGGGCGCCGACCTTGCTGTACAGCCGCGGGGGCGTGCCATTGCTATGGCTTTGGGCGTCTGGTCGACCGGTGACGGGCGGATGCGACCCGCCCACCTGTTGTGCCTACTCCGCCGTCGAAACGCGTCGGCTCCGGCTTTGGCTCTGGGCTACTGCTTTGCTTGCGAAAGGGCAGGCACTAACACCACTCGATTGTCATCAATGGCGCGCTTTCAGTGCCTTTGCTGGCTTGCGACCGTAGCGCTCATCGCACGCTGGACTTCGGTTTTTGTGTAAATGCTCGGGCCGTTTTATGACTCGCGCTGTCGAGAACGAGGACGATGCCTTTGTCAGGATGGTTGGCAGGCAGATGTTGTCAATAACCAAATCGTCATACACCAGTCCACCCCTTAGATGTTTTTCTTTGCACGTATGGGAGGAGCTGCTGCGCGTAATAGGTGATCCAGCCGGTGGTTCGCACGTGCACTGCCTGTGGATCTGGGTTTTTGAATAGAAGTATCACAAATAGCTATATTTGTAATTTTGGAGCTGGTGAAATGCATGCTTACAGTAATTCAACTACCACACTTTTAATTTGACCCATGTTTATATGTTCCCATGACTTCTTATCAGTGTATTGCCATATACCGTGTGCCGACAAAGAGGCCGTGCGCAGCGTTGGCAGTTTGTCGGCCGCTGCTGCCGCACCTCTGGTGTACCCCGCCGCTTGCGCGTGCACAGTGTCGGCGGTTTGTCGGCCGCTGCTTCCGCACCTCTGGCGTGCCCCCGCCGCATGCGCGTGCACAGTGTCGGCCGTTTGTCGACCGCCGCTGCCGCACCTCTGGCGTACCCCCGCCGCCTGCGCGTGCGCCGCAGCTGACCGGCGCGTGCCCGCAGGCAATCATTCGGCGACAGCTCGCACTCGACGCCGTCGTCCGTGTCGTCGACCAACAGCAGCCAGGACTCGCTGCACAAGCACGCGGCCGTCAAGAAGCGCGGCTTCAAGTCTTCGCTCGGCCGCTTCTTCAGCAAAAAGGAGAAGGTGAGGCGGCGGTGCGGCGGCCGCCGGCCGGACAGCGGGGCCGTCGCAGGGCGGCTGCGCCGTCCAGCGGCTGCTGTGCGGCGGACCTCGACGCCCGCGGAAGGCGAGGTCCGACCAGCTGGACCCGGGGTCGGTGTATGCCAGTGTCGTAACACTCGTGGCGGTGGGCGGAGAGGTTTGACGAGCCTGCGGGTGTGTGATCTGACCTGTGACGATGATCGGGGCCTGTGGCCGTGGGTGTCATGATATTGGCCCCATACCCCATGACCTGTGACGTTGACCCTGTCTAGCAACGGCTGAAAGGCAGCCGGTGTTGCGGTAAGCGTCCGCCTTGTGGCATCGGTCCCGGTGGCCGAGTCTTGGTGGCTGAAAGCCAGCCCTGTACCGCGCTGGCTGGCCGTGTCACTGTCGTTGTCCGGGCTGACCGCTGGCCCGTGCTGCAGCGGGCGTTTGACCTGCACCAGAGTCAGGCGGCGGCGGCGGCGGCCGCTGCCATGGGCCGGCCAGTGGACCTCTACTCGCCCGACACCACCGACGGCGGTCTCGACTCGCCCGGCGTCACCGTCTCCACGCCCAAAGCCGACTTCGACAGACGCACCAAGAAAAAGTCAGTCTTCGCCGCGCTTGGCCGCCGCCCACGAGACGGCAGGGCGGCAGGCCGAGCTATGTCAGGGGAGCGGAGGGTGGCGGCCTGGTGGACGGTCGCGGGCCGCTGTGGAGACGGGGAGAATGGCGGTCCTGAGGCTTGTAACTCCCGGCGGGAATATTGCACAGCGCGTCCCACACTGTCCTGTGCTGTCCTTTCGGCTAAGTCCCAAGTGAATAGTTGGGTTTCTGTCCTCTGTTCGAACTTCAGTGTATCCAGGGAAACCGCTGTTTTCAGACCGCCATTGTAATGTGACATCTCCTGTTTCCGAGAGGCCCGGCTGTCGCTGTCAGCCGCGCGCCAATCGCGAAACGGAGCTTTCCTCCCGATCTGAGGTTTCCTGTCTTCAATAATTGGTTGCCCAAAGCAGTCCAGCGTCCATTTGGCAGCGCTGGACATGTGCGCTACGTGTCGCCAGTGTATACTAGTGGATTCAGATATGTTACGAAGATGCTGGGCAGCTATTGGAAGCTTGAGTAATTCTTCAATTCGCATTACCATCTAGATGCATTTGCGTGGGTCGCCAACGAAGCAGTGCCAAATCCCTGTTGTTGCTACCATGATGAGGTGGGAGCAGTAATGTTTTCGGTAACTTTCCTAGTTTTTTTTTAACCGGAATCGTTTCTCGGAGTTTTTCTCGTGAAAGCTGCCATTCTGCAAAAAAGTTACCAGAAATAAGCTCCGTGACGTACCTCCCTGGTATATGGTAATGTCACGCACCATCGACAGTCAAGGACGGGTGTTTTCTTGCGTTAGTAGCCGCACCACTGCCGGACTATAGTGACGTCATTAGAGCCGCGGTCAGGACAGCGCTCGGCGCGGGGCGCACGCTCGGTCACTGGTCACGTGTCTTAACAGCGCGGGGCGTTACCGCCGCCTCGCGATGACACGACAAGGCAGGGCCGGCAGGCGCTGATACGACAAGGCAGGGCAGGCAGGCGCTGACACGACAAGGCAGGGCAGGCAGGCGCTGACACGACAAGGCGGCGGCAGGCGCTGACACGACAAGGCAGGGCGGCAGGCGCTGACACGACAAGGCAGGGCCGGCAGGCGCTGACACGACAAGGCAGGGCGGCAGGCGCTGACACGACAAGGCAGGGCAGGCAGGCGCTGACACGACAAGGCAGGGCGGCAGGCGCTGACACGACAAGGCAGGGCAGGCAGGCGTGACGCGACAAGGCAGGGCAGGCAGGCGCTGACACGACAAGGCAGGGCAGGCAGGCGCTGACACGACAAGGCAGGGCAGGCAGGCGCTGACACGACAAGGCAGGGCAGGCAGGCGCTGACGCGACAAGGCAGGACAGGCAGGCGCTGACACGACAAGGCAGGGCAGGCAGGCGCTGACACGACAAGGCAGGGCAGGCAGGCGCTGACACGACAAGGCAGGGCAGGCAGGCGCTGACACGACAAGGCAGGGCAGGCAGGCGCTGACGACAAGGCAGGGCAGGCAGGCGCTGACACGACAAGGCAGGGCAGGCAGGCGCTGACACGACAAGGCAGGGCAGGCAGGCGCTGACACGACAAGGCAGGGCAGGCAGGCGCTGACACGACAAGGCAGGGCAGGCAGGCGCTGACACGACAAGGCAGGGCAGGCAGGCGCTGACACGACAAGGCAGGGCAGGCAGGCGCTGACGCGACAAGGCAGGGCAGGCAGGCGCTGACACGACAAGGCAGGGCAGGCAGGCGCTGACACGACAAGGCAGCGTCTGACTTGCCGGCCTGCTGTGCCATCTGGGGCCTGGGCAGAGGTCATAGCCGCCGAACAGACGAACTGCTCCTAAGGGGCGGGGCTTGGGGCGGGGGGAGCGCCATTACAGAGGGCCATGTGCGGGACCAGACCCCGTTGAGCCGCACAAGAGCGGGTTTAAACCGGCTGACCCTGTGCGACCACTTAGTGCGCGAGCTGTAATGGCCAATCCATGATCGTCAAACACTTCGGCGAGGTTCAAATGGAATCATGAACCTTGACTTAGACTTCGCCGTACTGGTACCGGCGCTGCTCAAGCCTACCGTGGCCCCGCTAATCCCCGGTCAGTCAGCACCTTCATCTTTTCACTTGGCTGGATTTCCCGGTCTGGGTGCACTCGCTCTTAGCGCACTGCATAGGTTCGCAACGCTGCCATGTGGCTGTCCGCCCGGATCGTTTGACAGCCGGCTGGACAGGCAGCGAGTGCGCGTTGCGCCGCCTCCGGTGCCGCGCAGGGGCCGCCGCTGACGTCGCTCCCCACCGCACCACTGACGTCCTCCCGCCGCTCCGCTGACGTCACTCCCGCCGCGCCGCTGACGTCACTCCCTCAGCGCCGCTGACGTCGCTCCCCACCGCACCACTGACGTCACTTCCGCCGCACCACTGACGTCACTCCCGCCGCACCACTGACGTCACTCCCACCGCGCCACTGACGTCACTCCCGCCGCTCCACTGACGTCACTCCCGTCGCACCACTGGCGTCACTCCTGCCGCTCCACTGACGTCACTCCTGCCGCGCCGCTGACGTCGCTCCCCGCCACTCCGCAGGCACGAGCTGCTGGCCGAGGCGATGAAGGCCGGCACGCCGTTCGCGCTGTGGAACGGCCCGACGGTGGTGGCCTGGCTGGAGCTGTGGGTCGGCATGCCGGCCTGGTACGTGGCCGCCTGCCGCGCCAACGTCAAGTCGGGCGCCATCATGTCGGCGCTGAGCGACACCGAGATCCAGCGCGAGATCGGCATCAGCAACCCGCTGCACCGGCTCAAGCTGCGGCTGGCCATCCGCGAGATGGTCAACCTCACCTCGCCGTCGGCGCCCAACAGCTCGCGGCTCATGCACAACTTCGCCGAGATGAACCACGAGTGGATCGGCAACGAGTGGTTGCCGTCGCTCGGCCTGCCCCAGTACCGGTGAGCGGCGCGCGGCCGGCCGGCCGGCCGGGCCTCTCCGCGTGCAGGACGCTGGCCGATTGCGGATAAGTCTCAGTACGAACTTCTTGCTGGAATGGGTCTTTGGTACCAGCGCCACGCTAAGCAGCGCTCGTTGCGCAGGGCCTGGCTCCTCCATCCAATCGTGGAAGAATTTCATGACCAAAGCTTAACGTACCACACAGCTCGGCAAGGCCTGTTCTGCCTGTTTACGTCAGCTGACCCTTAGCACGGCCGCCGCCACCGGTCCCAGGCTATGCCAGTCAGGGGGAGATAGCGGGCGCCTAAAGCGGCCTCAGCCCATGCGGCTACGGGCAAGCGAATATGAAGGCAGGTCCTCGGACCAGTGAACTACCGCGGCCAGCTGGCGGCTACGGTTGGGCCCGCCTGGCCCGTCTCCCGCCGACAGCGGCAGCCTTCGGTGCGGAAGGGCGGACTGTGTGGGACAGTACCAGATGATGCAATGGTACGGGGTTTATGGGCGGAAGCAGAACCATACATTTCTGAACTCGCATGGGAGCCGCCAAGCCATTCCAGATTTATAGGATACACGCGTGTTTTGTGGATGAATCAGATGACCCGCTGCTGGTCAGAGCGGCCACGTTTGTCAGGCTGGTGGTCCTGAGGTACTGTCGGCTGGCTGGTTTGGAGGCGGCTCGCTGCTGGGTCTCCAATGGAGAGGGAGAGTGCCTGCGGCGCGGCGGCGGGCCAGAGCCGGTTAGTCGGCGTGCGTGCCGGCCTCCGTGGGCGTCCGTCCAACCCCACCCCCGCCGCCGCCGCCGCTGCCGCTGACGGCCGCCCCTCCCGCCGCCGCAGCACCTCGTTCATGGAGTGTCTAGTGGACGCGCGCATGCTGGAGCACCTGCTGCACCTGAACAAGAAGGACCTGCGCGGCTACCTGAAGCTGGTCGACGCCTCGCACAGGTGGGAGGCCCGCTGGCGGCCGGGTGCGGTCAATACCTCGATGGGAAGCGGGCGCCCACTCTGCCCCGCCAGCTGTCGAGATGTTGATGTCGGCGGCTGATACCTGTGATACATGTATCGGTGGCTGATATATGTGATGCATGTATCGGCGGCTGATGATGTTCGGCTCTGTTCCGGTGCGGGAGACGTTCGTTGACAATGTATAACGTTGTGGCACTTTGCTAAGGCTGCTACGGTGGTTTTTCTTGACGCCTCGTTAATCATTGCAGACTCGTGGGACTGCAGTAGTGAGGTGTCGTTAGCGGTATCAAATTATGAACCGTGGTGCATTTGTCTTCACTTCCACCTCTGAAGAACATCTTAATGTGATTTTGTGCTGGACGCCACCTGCCCGCGCCACTGGCTGGGCCGAGCAGCAGCGCTGAGTGCACGGTCCGTCGCCGGTACTCGAGCCGCTGCTGACCGAGCGTCCATCTTCTGTCGCCAGGAACAGCCTGCACTTCGGCATCCAGTGCCTGAAGCGGGTCGACTATGACCGCAACGAGTTGGAGCGGCGGCGACGCGCGTGCGAGACGGAGCTGGCCGATGTCTTCGTCTGGACGAACGAGCGCGTCATCCAGTGGGTGACCAGCATTGGCCTCAAGGAGTACACCTCCCAGCTGACCGAGTCGGGCGTACACGGCGCGCTCATCGCGCTCGACGACAATTTCGATTACAACTCGCTCGCTCTGGCGCTGCAGCTGCCTACAGCCAACCAGCAGGTACGGGCAACTGGAGTTTTGAGCCGCCGTGTTCCGCCGTCCCGTGTGGTCTAGTGGCTAGGATATCTGGCTTTCACCCAGAAGGCCCGGGTTCGATTCCCGGCACGGGAGTGCTTTTCCGCCGGTAGTTTTCGGACTTCGATTCTTCATTACTTATTGCTGTAGTACTTGTTACAATATTCTTTATTGCTACAACATTCTGTGCGTATTGTAGGATTCAAAGGGGGCAACTCTTAAGCCCACCACTGAACTATGCCAAGTCCAAAAAGTGTACACGCATGCTAGTTCACTGGTCAGACATGATGGGTTGGTTGGGCCACACATTTGTTCCTCATGACTGAGGCTCATTTGTCTTTGCCAAATTTGTTAGACGCTTTGGGTCAGGAAGGTGTTAAGATTGGAAAACATCTGCAAAATCACACCACACCTGTGCATGGTGAAATCTTGCATGTTCATGGTTGAGTTGTTCTGGCAGAGATACTCAAGTCCAGATAACCCATGACAAACAGTACACACACATTTTACATGACAGTAAGTGAGCTTCAGCAGGCTGAAACATTTTATGCAGACACCTCAAAGAAAACCTGATAGGAAAATATATGAGTTGTCACAGCTGAGCAAAGCTTATTGAGTTGACTGTTAGAGTACTTGATATGAGAGTAGGAACACAAGTGTTGTGCTTGGTTTTTGTTTGAGTGCCCCACTGCCACGCTGATGTCGGTGTTTCAGGCGCACCAGGTGCTGCGGCAGGAGTTCAATCGCCTGCTGGTGTCGGGCACCCATCGGCAGGTGGACGAGTCCAAGTCGTGAACAGACCGCCCCCTAGCGGACGAGTCCACGCTGGGCGCCGGCCGCTAGTGACGGTCGGCCCCACTGGGGGGCGGGCGGTCCGAGGCGCAGTTACCAGGGGCCGGCGCCGCGGCCGCGGCCCGACTGGGCGGACGGCGGTGCGCCGCGTGTGGAAGGCGCTGCGCGGCGCGGCGTGGCGTGGGGTGGCGTGGCGCGGCGTGGCGCGAGAGGGCCGCCAGGCTGTGGTGGCCGGCCGCGGCCCTCGGTGTACTGTTGTCATTGGTCTGGTGCTGTCCGCTGTTGTGGCGTCTCTCACTCCCTCTCTCTATCCCTCTCGCTCGCTCGCTCTCTCTTCCCCCGTCTCTCTGCTCTCGGACTTATCTTCGTGTACATAGCGGGCGGCCGGCATTCTCGTTCTCTCCGCGCCGCGGCGTCACCTTCGCGGGCCGGCAGCCGGTCGGCCCCGGTCTTCCCGGTGGCGGCCGCGCGCCGCCGCCCCGCCGCGCCCGGTCATATCATTTGTAAATTGCTCGGTCATTTGACTGCAGCGGGAGCGGGATGAGTGCGGCCGCCGCCGCGGGCCCGTGCAATGGCTCCGCAGGGGCGCGCGCTGCGTCCGCTGGAACTCCTTGCGTCCGCGCAACGAGAGGCTCGCCGTCATCGTCATTCGTCGCCACTGCACGAGCGCACCGCTTCTAGTGTAGCGCGTTCTCTTGATTGCATTGTACATAGTCGGCCTGTGTTGCGTCGTTCGCATTCGTTAGCTTAGTCCAGTACAAACGGTGACTATTTTGTACAGGCGGCCGGGACGCGCCTGGTCGCGCGCCAGTTTGAGTTGCGGCCGCGCCGCCGCTGGTCGGTCGCCGCCACTAGTCAGGTCCGCACGGCGTCTAGTCAGGCCGGCGTCCGCCTCCGGCCCCCTCCCTCTCTGTCTGTGCCACACGTGTCGCGCGCGCGCGCTTTATTTTTGTATGGCTGCCGGCCGGCGGGCCGAATCTCGCGCGCGCTGCCGGCCGGGACGCGGCCAGGGCTCGGCCGGCCCTCACTCAGTTTGCTCGGCTCGGTGGCGCCCGGAGCATTGGCTTCAGTTGCGTCTGCATTACCTCGGTTTGACAGTATTATGCTCGGATGAGGCGTTGCGGCCCGCCTGGACGCGGGGCGGGCGGAGCGGCGCGGGCGCCGGCGGCCGCAGCCGCGCCGTCGCCCGCGGTTGGGAGGTCAGGTCGGGACCGGGGCCGGCTCAGGCCTGACCCGGGGTCGGCCGGCCGGGCGGCCCCGGACGTCAGCCCAGCCCGGAGACGGCCGGGCCCGGGCGGGACAGCCCTCCAACTGCCCTGTAGCCGCAGCTCTGCTCCCCCAGCCGGTAGCGTCGCTGTTTCCGTGGTGTGCGTGCGCGAGGGTGTGCCATGGGCGTGAGCCTGCGCTCCTGCCTCTGTACGCGTCCCATCGCTCTCCTTATCGCCCTCCGCCGGCGGGTCACATATATATTGTATGTTTCTCTACACTCGGTACGTTTTATTGGAACATGAATAATATATTGTTGCCCACAGCCTTCTTTGTGCTCATTATCGGCTGCACGACGCGAAAGCACTTACCAGCGCGCGCCGAATGATTTGTTTCGTGGCGATGCAGGCGGTGAGGTGTGCGTCGTCCCACGTCGTTGACAAATATACTTGCTGTATAACGCTTGTGATCTGTTAGCACCATGCGGATGCCCGTCACGTTTGTGAAGTGTTGGCTACAACTGTTATTTAAGGTGCGTTGCTTAGACTGCGGAAGAATGGGAACGGGGCAGCTGCCGTATGCCTGAATAAAAGAAGCACAGGATGTGGTTCCATTTTCGATTGGGGAGGGTTTCAGCGCCCCCCCCCCAACTTGGCTTCAAATCCCGAACTCCACTCTGAGAGCAAATGGGTCAAATCGAGGGAGGGACCCCTTTGTGTGCTATGTTGGGGGTGGGGGAGGGAGTCGTTTTCCACTGGTTTCCCTCAACTCATTTCGCGAAACGACGTGGCATCGCAACTGCACAGTAGCCTCAATCGTGTTGTTTTCAGTCACTGGGTAGGCGGGCTTGCATGCCGGACGTTGTAGGTGCGTGAGGCTGGCTGTTGTGATCTTAATGGTGTACGTCGGATCTCGCAATGATGAAAAGACGACTGAAAGCCAGGTTTGGCACGCCTCGGGCACGTGAAATTTCCTAGGTGTCGTAAAACAACGTTACATCTTCTCGACGTTGTTGCTCGTCTGTGTATGTGTACCCGGAAAGGTTAACTGTCAGCATTTAAGCGTATGCATAGGCAAAATGCCAACAGTTCGGTAGAGAGAGGGCGCGCGTACCCAAGGGCATACTGTTCGCGGGGTGCCGCCATGGTCCTTTGGCATTTCGTGTAAATTAGCATGGCATCAGCCACAGGCATTTTCAGTCAGCTGATATTTTGCCAGCGACTCGCCGTTTACGCCGCATTTCCCTAAATTTTCACGGTCGGGCAGGCGCTGTTTGCGGAGCTTATACATAAGTGAGTACGGAAGAAAGTAAATACGGTGCAACGGGAAACAAGACCTCAGGTGATTCTGCTGCTCTATGGCCTCGGTAATAACGTACAGATACCAAGAAGCCCGCGGAGTCTAGGTGTTTTCTGCTGGATGTGGGTGGAGTTTGTTATCCCGTCGGCTGTCTGGGTGGCTTGCTGGGTTACTGCTTTCTGCAAACACTCATTGTCATCCCAGTGCATGCTGAGCTTCTCATCTTGGCTGACATTGGTCTATTTCTGGGTAAGGGCTTTTTCCTGTGGATTTTTTTCGACAAAATTTGTGTACAGTTCTTGAGTGGTTGTCATCAGGATTGCATTATGTTGATAAAAAGCACAGCTTTGGCTCTTGGTATCTTATATGATAAAGCTTCTTCCATGGCAGGTTTCTCACTGATCTCTTGCTCTAGACTCAAACACATTGACCTGTCAAAAGTGGATGAGATGGAAGTTACCATTGCTCTTGCAGTCCATTTTCCTCACTGTTTTAAAGAGCATTTGGTAAATCTTGCTAAAGGTAGTGTGCTCAAGTAAAAGCAGCTTGCTGCACCTCTTTGTCTCATTTTCCCTCTTCCCTTTTCACTCTCAGTTAGGTGATTTAGTTGGTAAAATCATTTGAATGATATATTTACCTTTTTGCTGATTTCCAGTAAAACAACAAACCTTACAAAGCCTGTCCTTATTTTGGTATGACTTTACTATTAAAAGCTAATATGAGTGGCTGGTGCCTCCTAGCAAAACAGTCTGAATTTTTGTTCACAACATGGAAGCATTAGGCTGGAGCATACAACTCTTATTTTTTCAGGATCTAACTGGGTTGGAAAACTCAAACAGCATTGTATAATGCTGTTCATTCTTAACAGAGAATTATCAAGCCGACATCTGTCAGTTGAGCGATTAGGTCACAGTTCACAAGTATACTGAAAAAAATCACTACCTGAACTGTAAGAATGACTTCAGGGCTACCTTGCAAAACAGTGGTTAGATAGCCTTGAAATCTGCACATGATACTAGAGCATGTTCTTGCATACTTTTGTTCTCCTCTTTCAGTACAGATGACAAGTAGCTTATCAATATGAAGATATGCTATTCAAGGCTGTTTTTATCACAGATGCCTGTCAATCATTTTAATTCAACAGTTGGTCCACCATGACACCTGATGGAGGCCTCACATAATCTCACAGTGTGACACTCCTAAAGTGCCCCACACCAGCAGGGGAACTGCAACTTAATGTTTTTAGAAGCAAGCATTGTCGTGACAACTTTGATTCATGATGTCATCGCTTTGCAAGTTTACCTAACAGCAAAAAATGATTCCTCCAAAATGTGTCAAATTTAGTAATTGTTAGGCATGGAAACATTGGTGAACCCACTTTGCATCATCCTAAATCTTCCTGATCCTGGAAGATTCCACTTATCCTGAATGTCAGAATTTTATATTGACTTGTGGTGTATTTATCAGTACTTAGTTCGACCATAGGTGAGATGTAGTGCTGTTTATATTCATGACAGCAGATATTACATTTCAGCATAGCCAGGATGCACAGCCACACATGCAACTGTCTGAATGTGAGGCTGGACGTGGTGCAGCTGCTGGCTGAGCCGCCAGCGGACGTACCGGAGCCGCTGCAGCGCGAGCCGCTGCTGGCCGCCGGCTGCCTCTGGGTACTGCTGGGGCCGGACGGCGCGAGCGTGGAGCATGCTACGCTTCTGCAGCAGCACTCGGTGTCCGGCGCCAGTGACTGGACTGTCTGTCGGTGCCTCAACTGCGGCTGCGTGACGCACGCCACTTGCGACCGGGCCGGCGCCGCCACCGCCGTCAGCAAGTACCTCCTGGTGAGCGAGCCGCGGCGGAAATCACGCCCACCACGCCGTGGGACGCGGACCCGACGGTCTTGCCAGTCTTGATCGTACGGATTTTCCGCTCGAATGTCCCGGCGACATCACCAGCCGCGAATGCGCGCTAATGGGCACTACCCTGACGACTTTGGTGAAGTTGCAATCCATAATCCGCATTGTGAAATGTCTTCCCAACTTTTAAAAACAATGAAAAGAGACAGGGCAATAATGCCTTCTTGATTACTGTACATAGATGGTTTAAAATGAGTCTGGCTGTCCTGGTGCGGCCGGTGCGGCCCGTGGCTATCAAGGCGGCCGCCTGCCGTCAGTCGGAGCCGGCGCGGATCGCGGCGCTGCAGCGCAGCGAGCGCTACTCGCCGGCCTTCCGGATCGTGCTGCCGCAGCTGGCCGGCGCGCTGGAGCGCTCGCTGGCGCCGCCGGCCAGCCCGCGCTCGCACCCGGCGCTGACGGCAGCGCTCCGCCACATGAAGCTGAACGTCACCTCGTGAGTGAGCAGGCCGCCGCCGCCGGCCCGCACGGCAGCGGCCGGCTGCGCCCAGCTGACCTGTTTGGAGTACTCGTGCCATCCCTGGTTTGTTTAGAGGGGACGGGGCGGAGCGGTGGCGTGCCCCTCTCATGTTGCATCTCTAGATTCAGCGCAGTCACTGCATTGCGATAAATAAAGTACTGCTGGGCTCTACGACATTTCACCTCACTCAAGTGCAGGATTGTTCGGGCACATATGTCGTATTTACACATATGATGGATATGTGATATTATCAAATATGGCGTATTTGGGGACCATATGTGTTTATCAATAGCATGCGAAGTGTACGTGGATAAAACGTTGGGCTCAAGTGGTGTACGATTCTGTTCTCGATTTCAGTTTCATTAAGCGCGAAGAACACCGGATAGAAACGGTAGTCCAGAACTTCAGGGATGAAAAGCTGGCCGAACTGAAAGAAAGCAAGCAACGGGCTTTCGAGGACTCTCAGGCGTTCAAGAGGTGACAAACCTCTTCGGATAGCGCTTGCTCGTCGATGTACATTCTTCATATGCTGCGGATATTATAACGAAGAGCAACAACGGTATTTCACGTATTGGGGCAGTCCTCATATTACCGAAGCACATTTCATTGACGTATTAGCAAAAACTGAACATACTGTGCGGTCCATTGTGCATTGGTTGCTCGTTTCCGAACGGCTAACGGTCAGCCACCGCATATGGCCAGCTGCATCTGTCCCAGCGTGGGTCAAGTCACTCCTCCTTCAGTCTGCTGCTGCAGGTGGAGGACCAGCTGTATCTGTCCCCAGTGTGACTCTCTCACCCGCCCCCTCCCGCAGTCTGCTGCCGTCGGATGAACGAGGCTCTGACCACTGTGTTGCCCCCAGTGTGGCCCTCACCCCCCCCCGCAGTCTGCTGCCGCGGTGGAGGACCAGCTGCGTTTCCCCAGTGTGACCCTCACCGCCCCTCCCGCAGTCTGCTGCTGCGGGTGGAGGACCAGCTGTGTCTGTCCCCAGTGTGACCCTCCCCGCCCCTCCCGCAGTCTGCTGCTGCGGGTGGAGGACCAGCTGCGTTTGTCGGCGGACGCCGGTGGCGCACCGCTGTCCTCCGAATCCGAGGGACAAGACACCGTGCCGCCGCTGCGTTCCGAGGTGGGCGCGGCCACCCGCCGGTGGCGGCGACAGAGGCGGGTCTGGCGACGCCCCGATAGGCAGCTGGCACTGACGCTCACGACATTGCTCCTTCGTGCATGACGCTGGCCACAGAGGAGCCGTACTGGGTGATCTCAGGCAGACATGTTTGCAAATGTCAGAAAATTCGAAGCCATCGCCACGGTATTTGTCGAGATTTCTAGACATTCCTGCTCTCGGCTTCCTAGCGTGATCGGTGGTAACACGATCGTTTTGTGTGCTGTGTTGTGCCTCATTTCCCGATTCCTACTGTTGCCTCTGCCTGAAGCTCTGATCCCCACTCCGTCCTCGAAATTACACCTGTCCGGCCTGACACTGCCTCTTTTCTTGTGTCGACAGAAGTTTTCTGTCTTCGCTACCCCTGCCGCCGCCTGTACTGTAACCGCCGCTGTTTCGTGGCTGATGCCGCCCCGTCCGATACTGACGCTGCCTCTGCCGGCACGTGTAGCGGCGGCCCTCTGGTGTACCCAACCAGGACATGGTTGGCGTGTTCCTAATGGACGGAGATGACATCGAAGTAGCTGAGGAGGTGGACGAACACTTCCTGCAGGTGAGCCGGCCTGGGTGGTGTGGACGCGGCTCCGCAGAACACAGCCGCCTGGCATTGACCGTCTGCGTTAGTGCCAGGCGGCCGGCTGTTTGCATGGAGCTCTGCAGTGCCATGGAGTGCTGCAGACAGTCACTCCATGTCGTGGTGATTCGCGGTCCATTTTCCGACGTGCTGTTTCCTGTAGCCGGTGCTCCAGTCACTGTCATCCATTTCGACTTTTGCGCGGCTTTATCGGCCGTCAGGACGCCGACACGCGCGGGCAGGCTGTGCCGTCTGTCTCGGACCCGGCCACGTCCCGTTTTCGGCTGTCCGGGGCAGGCTTCACACCGGGTGCTGAGGCATCCTCCGCGTGTGATCATGCTTCTGGCTCCAGCCGCCTGCTCTGTACGGACTCTGGGTCGTTTGGATCCAGCCCTGTCACGCTGTGGGCGTGGCCCTGACTGTGACTGCTGTCTTCGTGAGGTCACTCACGGGTGGTCGCTGACGGGCCGCCGCCGCTGCAGGATGACGAGGAGCCGGACACGGACGACTCGGGCGTGGAGGAGCCGCGCCCGCTGGCGACGCCGGGCCGCGGCTCGCGCGCCGTCGATCTCGCCCACTCGCTGCCCGTGCACATCCCCGTGCCGGCAGCGGTGCTGGCACTGGGTGAGTGGCGCCAGTGCCAGGCCGCGTCGGGCCGGCAGGGTCGGGACACGCGTGTTCAAAGGCTCGGCCCAACTGCCCGCTCCGTTACACGGGGTCGCGCAGTCCGTGGTCATCGTCAAACGCTGCGCACCAGTGAATCGACAGTCACTATCGAGCATACGGCGTTGTCATGCTAGCGGCCGGTGTCATGGGATCTGTGAAGTGGCCTTGTGATTCTGATGCCTTCGTGGACGGGCCGACTGTCAGTTGACAACAGTCCGTTTCGTCGGGAGTGCGGGCACGTGTTGGGCGGCAGCTCGGATCGCCGCGGGACGGCTGCTGGCGTCCGGCACTGCCCGCTGGGTCCCGGCACTGCGCACTGCATGGCCGCTGGCGTCCCGTGCGGCCGCTTCGTGAGCTGACCCGAGCGTCCGCCGCGGCAGGCCGCCAGCGCCCGTCGGCCGTGGAGGAGGAGGTGCCGTCCATCGACCAGATGGCCGACTCCATACGCCAGCTGGCGCAGAGTCTGCACACGGAGCCGGGCTGCTTCGCCGACCTACCGCGACCGCGAACCAACACCATGAACCGCTGACCGGGCGGCCGGGGCGCCGCGCCGCGCCGCGCCCAGTCACGCGCCGCGCCGCGCTGCGCCCAGTCACGCGCCGCTTCACGCCGGGCCGGCTCGAGCCGTGCACACTTGGCTTCGTTCGGCAGGATAACGGCGGGCATGCTCTTGATATCGATACCCCGGACCCCCTCCCCTCCCCGTTTCGGCAGCCTTCTCTTGCCCGGAGCCGGCCGGTCCGCGTCGCACCGAACGCTGCCGCGAGGGCCGCTTATGATAATCTCTTTGGCTGTGTTGTTGGGCCTGCGCGAGCTGTTACTGGCGCGCAGGTGCCGTACGGTTTGCCGTTACAGATGTGTGCTGCGGCGTGTTGAGGGCACTTGTTCCCGCCTGGACTGAGGGTGGCGTCGTCTTGGGCGAGCTGTCGGGTCGAGTGATTTTGTAGAGTAAGTACGTGGGTTGCCTGCCGATGTTTTGGCGGAACATCGTGCGCTGTGTTCGGAGCAGCAGACCGGTGAAGACTCCGCCGGCGTCCAACTGACGCGCTCGGACGTCTTCAGCGGCTATGGGCAGCACGCGGATAATTACCCCGGACAGCAATCGCTTCCAATGGAACCCTTCTGTCTGAGCCGGCGGGCGACTATGACGGTGTGGCGGTCGGTCCGGCCCCGCCGGTGGTTTGACCTGGAACCACCGACCGACGCTCGGAGGGCCCGTCCTCCGCGGGTGCGTCCGCAGCGCCGCGCTGCGCGTGACCTGCGGACCTGTGATCTGCGGACCTGCCGCCGCTACAGCCGCGGGCAGGGCGAGCCAAGCCCGGCCTACGGCGTGCGCGTTCACACTCGGGCTGTGCTGAGCTCGGCGGCGCCGCAGCCGGGGGTCGACCTGCCTGACTGGCGCGAGGCGCCGCGGTCCGGTCCGGCCCCGCTCCCCGTCAGCGGACGGGACGGGGCCGGCGCGCGGTCGACCTGCCGGGGCCGGGGGTCAACCTGCCTGATTGACGCGAGGCGCCGCGGTCCGGTCCGGGCCCGCTCCCCGTCAGCGGACGGGACGGGGCCGGCGCGCGGTCTCCAGCCGGGGGTCGACCTGCCTGAGTGTGAGGCGCCGCGGTCCGGTCCGGCCCCGCTCCCCGTCAGCGGACGGGACGGGGCCGGCGCGCGGCCTCTAGCCGGGATGGCTTCGGAGACGACCCGGCTCGCCGGCCGAATGCTGAGACGGTGACGCCGGCGCGGCTCAGCAGCGGGCGCCGCGCCGGCGTACCGAGCCCTGCACCCGCCGCAGCGCTGCGCGGTCGACCCACCAGCCTGGCACTAACACTACGGCCTGTCGGACCCGTGCTGGACAGCTTACCACGCTTTGGCGCCGTTTCCCTGCGCGCAACCGCGGGCGGTGCAAGAAAGGGTCGCTCGGCGTGTCCGGTCTGCTCGGGCCCGCAGCGGGGCTCCAGGGCGGGTCGGTCGGGCTTCGCCCCGAAGGTCGCTATGTTGGCGTCTCTGTGCCAGAAGGTCGACGTTCCGATGGGAAATAAATGGCCATGGTGTGCGATCGCGTGTAGCCACCGGTGAGCTCTGGAGTAAGGCATCGCGACGACCGGCCACCACGCCGTGACCAGAGTGGGCTCAGTGCGGGTGTGGACATGAACCACTCCGGCCTGCGTCGTGAGGTGACCAGGACAGAATCGGAGCGCGCCCCTGCGTGTATTATTCCAACGAGCAAAGACCATCACTGAATGTATAAATTACCACAATAGCGCGTGCTGGCGCGCCCACGCATCGGGGGCGAGTGACGAGGGGACGTGGCCTGCCAGCACGCGGCGAACACAGGGTATGCACGGGGTGGACTAAAACATTGTATACAGTAATCTCCACAAGCTCGCGGGGTCGGACGGGCCATCCGTCCGTCCCGCCCGTGGCGGACAGCTTGTGACGGGGCAGGCGGAGCGCACGGTCAGCGCCAGCCTGCCGGCCACGGGCTGGCCTCACAACATGCACACACACAGAGACACGCACACGGACGTCCGCCGACTAGGTGCACCGCGCTCAGTCAGCCTTCTTCTCGGCTGCCGGCTTCTGTGGGGCTGGCTCGGCCGGCGCGCCCTCCAGCGGCGGCGCAGCGGTCGCGCCGTCGGCCGCCGGCTGACCCCGGCGCTCCAGCATCTCCTGCGAGTAGCCGAACTCGTTCATGCGGCTCGGGTCGACGCGGTAGATGTAGCGCTGGTACAAGAAGATGAAGAAGACGACGTCTGCAGGCGAACGGAGCGCGGTCAGTGGCGCGCGGAGCTCACCCGACAGCGGAGGGGCGGGGGCACGCGGGGCACGCGCCGGCAACACCGCCGCCGCCTGCACGGCACGCTGCCATACTGTCCACTCCTACAGCGCTCAGGAAACGCTGCTACCCTGTCAATTGATACAAAACAGCTCGAAGATCGAAATCGCCGAACAATGGGCAACACAACGCAGACCATCACGAGCAAAACTCAGCACTGGATGGTACATTACAACATCAATGGCGCCGCTCACCGTCCCGCAGACAGCCAATTCTGTACATCATCGGCATCTTGATGACGAAGGCAAACATGTCGTCGATGAACGTGTTGAGCGCCTTGTACGTCAGCATGCGCCACGGCAAATGGGCAACCGACTTCATCTTGTAGTTGATGAATAGCTGAGGCGTCATCATGATGAAACCTGCCGAAAAAGCCGCGGTCGCTCAGGGCACGAAACACTCTGCGACGCCACGGACGTCACCAAGCAAGTGTTTTTAGTTGTTTATGCTGCTTTTAGCAACCGGGGTCGTGTCATGACACGGACGGCGGTTCCAGTTCATCACAGATTAAAGCAAGACTGCACAAACCGCCCGTTCCGTGGTCTTCAGAGGCGCACTTACCGAAGGTCAGTAGGAAGCCATACAGCATGGAGAGCACCCACGAGTACCAGCCCTTGTGCTCCATGTACACCACGCTGTACACGGCGTATCCGCCCAACAGCGGGAAGAGCGCCCAGGACAGGTACCTGAAGAACAGGGGGACGCCAGCCGTCACACACGCACACGTGTCCACTGTCGTCGCGCGGCGGCGGCGAGCGCGGCCTGGCCCCCGCTGACCGACCGTCGGACACAGGCCTGCGGCCGCGCCGGTGATCACCGCTGCTGGCGGGCACGGCTCGGCCGCCGGCGGCCGGCCGGCAGCACGTCACAGCCCGACTAGCCGTCCAGCACGCGCCCCGAGTACTGCCGTGACACACGTCCGCCATGCCCCGTTGCTCGCAACTGAGGAGGGCCCCTTGCCATCCCGTGCCTTTCAATCCCCAGCATACGCTTTTGTTGGTTTTTGTTTTGTTTTTGGCATTAGAGCCCTTTCGACCAGAATCGAACACACCCGGGCTATGGGATGACGTGGCTGACGCACACAGCCTGCCCCGGACAAGCGGGGCGTCGCGAGGATGCAGGATGAAGGGAGATCAAGGATAAAAGGGACGAATGTGTACGCTTTCAATTCACAAGCGTGGTGAGAGCTGAGCGACCTCGGCCGGGCACCAGCCCGCCGCCACAGAGTGATCACAGGCCCAGGCGACCTCGCCCAGTACCACGCGGTCACCACCCACCTGAAGGCCAGCTTGTCGTATTTCCGCGTGCTCGATTCCACGTAGGAGCCTTTGTCGGCGAACGTGACGCGTGGTATGATGCCCAGCAGTCGGTTCTGCCGGTCGATCTTCACGTCCGACACCTGGCGGACGAGGTAAGAAGCTAGAGTGAGGTGCGCGGCCACAGAGTGGTGCCGTGGCGATGACAGGCTTGACCAAGCATCCCGTCATATGCAAATTGCGCCGGACATCCAAAGAAAAGACATCAACGCCGGACTCACGTAAGTAGCTCACAGGCGTCCCAGCGCGGGAGCCGGTGGCAGAGCGGCTGAGCGCACCCTAAGTCGACCGGTCCCCTGCAGCTCAATGTCCCATTGCTCCGACAGCAGCAGAACCTTGAGCGTCCAGAGGCCATCTCCGGCGCGAGTTCACCACAGAGGAGCCGACACACGCACCCGTCCCGCTGGAGGCGCAAGACCTTCCCAACCGACCGCCGCACGTGGCGTGCGACGAGCTCACCTTGGTGATCTTCCATAGCTCGATCAGCAGACCGATGCCGCAGCTGATCTTGATGACGGTGTTGGTGTCGTTGTCCAGGACGTAGAGCAGAATGACGACCGCCTGGAACACGCCGAAGAAGACGGAGCGCACCGACAGGCCCTCCAGCGACTCCCGGTTGTTCCAAAACTGGATATCTGTAAGGCAGAGTGGTGTCTCAGTTAGTCTATGTGGCTGGACGTGTTGAAAGAAGCCCGTCAAGTTACGCCCAGGATGACTTGGAAGACACCACGGACCTACCAACTACTTACACGCATCATAAACCCACTTGATCAACAACATGAACGCAGCCAGCTCGGCTCAAGTAATGGCCCGTAGTGGGATAGCAGCGTCGCATGAAACGGGCACCCGTTAGAAAGCACTGCCGAAAGCATCGGGGGACAACAGGCATGTGACATCCAGTCAAGACGCCACCACTGAGTTTGTATCGGGCGGCGGCAGGGCAGACAGCAGCCGCCGCCCGCGAGAAAGCCGGTCACCCGCGGCGGCCCACCGACCGTTCTTGAAGGCGAGGAACTCGAACACGCTGTGCAGCAGCGACACGGCCACAGTCAGCGCCATCAGGTAGACGTTCGTCTCCAGGATCGCCTCCTTCATCGAGTCCTGGCAGGAGAGCGACCGGGCCGTCAGCGTTAAACGGCGCCGGTCTGCTGAGCACAGCGCCAGGCAGTGCCGGGGGGCAGGCCGCCACAGCGCCACACCAGACTGGCAGCAGTGGGAAGATGTCGAGAATTCGGGCAACAATCTGGACGTCAGGGCCGGACAGAGATGAACAGGACAGGACAGCACTGGACAGAAGCGGACAGGGCAGTGCAACACTGGACTGAGGTGGACAGGACGGTGCAGCACTGGACCGAGGCGGACAGGGCCGGACAGGGCAGGGAGGAGACGAACACGGCCGGACATTAGTAGACGATGCAGGACACAACCAAACACATCCAGACACGACAATGTCGGCACACGACACCGATCCCCGCGTAGATCACCACCGGCCAGCTGAACAGTTGACAGTGCTCGCCATCAGCGACGCTGCTCTGGCGTCCGCGCACGCCGTCCCATTGGTGCCAATGTGACGAGGCCCCAGTCACGTGACCCGCACCGCTGCCCCGACTGAGCCGGTGGATACCTCCCCCTCCCTGCCAGCCAGGCCCAGGGGTCTGGTCTAGTCCGCGACGGTCTGGGGAAGTCATCTCAAATATGACCATTCAGAATCTGACTCCCAGAATCTGGTCCGTTTTATTTTAGCCCGTTCCAGTGTCTTATCCTCCAATTCCAGCATCTTAAGCCGTTCTCACCTGCCGTGACCCCGGGCCCCTTATCGATCGGACATTTCACTTCCTCCCGTCCTGATACGTGAATTCTAAATCAGCTCGTACAAGTAGCCCAATTCCAGGTGCCCCCGACCTGTGACCTGCTCCTGACCTGATCGCCGTGTCAGTGTCCTGGCCATGGCGCGTGACCTGTGACAAGTCAGTGACCTGACCCCCCTCCCGTAACCTGTTCTGACTACCGCTGCCCCAGCCGACTCTGACCTAAGACTGGTTTCAGGCGCCCCCTGCCCCGCCCCCTTCCCTTCGTGCCGCGGCCGCCATCCACGTCGCACGAGCCTAACCTGGTCCTCGTCATTCTCTTCACCGGCGGCGTCTCCCAGCAGGCTCGCCGTCCACTTGTTCCGCATGCCCATGGAGCTGTACAGCTGGAACTTGAAGAACGTGATAGGGTGGAACGTGAGCAGCAGCTCCAGCTCCTTCATCTGTGGACATTGACAAATTACATCCGTTAGGTGCACAGCAAGCTAAACGCACAACGGAAAATAAAGTGAATTTTAAGCCAGCAAACAAACGTGGTCTGCCTTTCCTGCATTTCTACAATGGTTTCGCCGTACTGAACTGAGCAAGCACGACGGCTCAGAGCCAACTACCTGCTGGCAGAAGCGGTCGAACCCGCACGAGCAGGCCGGTCACCGTGTAGAAGCGGCCGACCCGCCGGACCAGGCCGCTCACCATGTAGAAGCGGTCGATCCGCTGGACCCGGCCGCTCACCGTGTGGAAGCGGTCGAACCCGCCGGACCAGACCGCTCACCGTGTAGAAGCGGCCGATCCGCTGGACCAGGCCGCTCACCGTGTAGAAGCGTTAGAACCCGCCGGCCCAGGCCGCTCACCGTGTCGTTGAGCGGGAAGTAGTCCTTGTTGAGGTTCCAGTAATCGTTGATGAAGAGGATGGGCCTGTAGCGTTCGCCGGAGGGCGTGAACTGCAGGTACTCGTCGATGGGTGGCACGAGCGCGGCGCGCGTCCAGGTGGTGAAGTCGTGCACCAGGCTGACCGTCATGTTCGGGTGCCAGTGCGACAGCCGCTCGGACTGGATCGTGTCCGCCTTCTGCGGGGCACACGGCAGCGCGGTGTCAAGCGCCGGCACAGACGGGAGACGCGCGCAGGGACACAGGCTGGGTACGGACGGCCGGACCCCTTCGAGACACGGAAACCGCGCAGGGAGCAATGTCCGCTATCGGACTATATTGTATTGTTTGGAAAACCGCTCGCCAGAACATTCCGAAATGGGATGAGCCAGCTGCCCGCTGGCAGAAGAGCGGCCTGGTCCGGCTTTTGAGATCGTTTTCGGGCATTTCAAAACTTCAGTTATTTGAACCCCGTTTCCAAGTCCCCGTCACTGTGACCCAAACGGCGATGGATGCCATTCCGAAAGCAAAAACGTCACAAGGCACGCTTCAAGATGTAATATAAAACTCACTCAACTGTACACAAAGGGTCAGTTGTCGTTCCATTCATCTAGCTCATTCCATTCAGCTACGATGCGTAGCATGCTTTCAATCCATGGGACGACGCTTATTTACAGAGAAAACCTTTACAGAGAAACATGCAGGCACACCAACGGCGAAAGGAGAGCAATGTATCTAACTAAAACACACATAACCATGCCCCGGACAACTCTCAACTGAAATTACGACATAACTGCTTCTTGCTGTGCATGCTGGTCTTAGAAGACACCACACCACGTCCTCTAGTTGTACACAACCGAATTTGCACATAATAAACCAACATAATAAAGATGGCGCGTGACCACGAGCGACGACCGGCGGCACAAGGTCGTCAGTGGGCGCCCCGGTCGGCCGGCAGCGGCACGGACGCGGCAGCGGTCCGAGCCGACGCTCGCGGCCGCTGGGGCACGGTGCCAGCTGGGGCGCGGCGCCTACTCGCCCGCCACCAGGTCGTCATTGGATGCACCGGCGGCCGGCAGCGGTCCGAGTCGACGCTCGCGGCCGCTGGGGCACGGCGCCAGCTAGGGCGCGGCGCCGGCCCGCTCGCCGCCAGGTCAACAGTCGACACGGCGGCGGCCGCGCACCGCCAGGACCGTGTCCGGGTACCGCGGACGGCTGCACCGCCAACGGGTCCCCGGGCGCGGCGCGGCACTTCACCGACGGCCGGCCGACGCCACGTGACGTGGTCATCGCTCGGCGACGGCGCAGGACCGGCGGCGCGGGACGGTCTGGTCCGGGGCGGCACGGCGGACATGCGCCGGACCCTCCCCGCGACGGCGCAGGACCGGCGGCGCGGGACGGTCTGGTCCGGAGCGGCACGGCGGACATGCGCCGGACCCTCCCCGCGACGGCGCAGGACCGGCGGCGCGGGACGGTCTGGTCCGGGGCGGCACGGCGGACATGCGCCGGACCCTCCCCGCGACGGCGCAGGACCGGCGGCGCGGGACGGTCTGGTCCGGGGCGGCACGGCGGACATGCGCCGGACCCTCCCCGCGACGGCGCAGGACCGGCGGCGCGGGACGGTCTGGTCCGGGGCGGCACGGCGGACATGCGCCGGACTCTCCCCGCGACGGTGCAGACCGTCAGCGCAAGCCAACGCTGACCGTACGCCCGAGCTGTCTGCCATCGTTACCGACAAGCCCTGCTGGGGTGACGCCACAGCTCGTCGGCCTCCCGAAGCCGGCGACAATTGTGAAATAGCACACGATCGTCGCGTTCGTAACCTCTCCGGCACGAAGTGGCTGCATTAACAGCCCAGTTGCGAAAACAGGCATGATATTTGTTTGTAGACAAAGAGCATAGCGTTACAGACGTCCTTCTTACATCAGCCGCCTTGTTGCTAATCGACTGACGCTGAAAAGCAGCAATGTCAGTGCAACACGCAGGCATGTTTGAAAACGTAAACCGAGCACTCGCTTCTCGGTACGTTACCACCACACGGCATCCACCCTTGATCGGAGGTCAGACGGGTGCGACAAGCCGGAAACCAGTGGCGGCACCGTAAAGACCCGAATATAATGAGCCCCGAAGTATGCGTCTTTCTTACCCGCCCGGAAAGACCGCAGAATGGGAGCGTTTGTTCTCCGCTGAATGGGCCGGAAAAGCCAGACGCAAATGACGTGTCCTCGAAGACACCATCTCGATGAAATACCTGACGTTGTCACTCCTCACCCCTCACTCTGGTCGGCCTCGTAATCGTAGCCTCACTCTACGCCAAGCCAGGACTGGGGCCCGACCGGCCGCTCCGAAACGAGAGAATGGCAGAAGATCAACGGGGGAAATGAGAAGCAGCCTAAAATCGATCCATACAAATTTCGTGAACAGAAAATAGGCTTTTTACCCTTCAACAAAAAAGTGTTCTTACTACAAAAACGGCGCTTGGATGGATCAATTGTCACATATCAGTAACAGCCGAAGCTACATTACATCGCTCGGGAGGGATCATCACTACGCCATTGTCCAGCTACCTCATCTGGGTAAGTCTGTTTTCAAAGGGAAGCAAAAGACATGTCAACCCATGCTCTTCGCTATGCTATTTTGACCAACAACACAACCAGACGTTCACAAAAACGGGCCGCTGTGGACCCCAAGTCATCCACCGTACCGCGGACATAAAAGGTCGGCACACTTTAACATCATTACCGGAGGCGGCGACCCGAGCCGAGCGGTCGCCGCCTGCAGGGGTCAGCGGCGGACTTTTTGCCGGCAGCGGCGGCCCGGTCACGGCCGGACGCGTCACCATGACGCGCGGGCCGGGCGGAGACCGCACCTCCGCCCAGCGGCGCGGGGTCAGCCTGGGCCCGCACCAGCCGCGGGCGGCTGACGGCCGGCCAGAGGCTCCACCGGGCCTACGCCGCCGCTCCAGCGGACGCCGCACGTCCACAGCTGGGAAGCGCCGCTCCGCCGCTCAGCGCCGCTCGTTCCACACTTGCCGTCGGCTACGCGGCGCGTGACGTGCAGCACCGACATGTGCCGGGCGACGGCCCAGACGCCGCACGGCGCCGGCCGGCGTGACGACTGACGTCACGACGACGACGGCGGCGGCGGCGGCGGCGGCGGAGGCAGCGCCAGTCGGTGACGATGGCTCGCCCCGCTCGGCTGCTGGTGCCGCTGGCCGCGCTGATTGCCGCCGCCGCCGCCGCCCAGTGGCTGGAGTCGTCGCAGCGCCAGCTCAGCAACGTCTGCGCCACCGTCACCAAGACCAAAGTGCTCTACAAGACGGTGGAACGCGTGCGCTGCCCGGTGCAGTCGCTTGAGTCGCTGATGTCGCGCGGCGGCGGCGCACGCTGCTCGCTCAGCGAGCTGCCGGGCCCGCCGCCGGCCACGGTCACCGTGCGGCCCGAGCGGGTCACGCTGACAGACGGCGGCGGAGCGCTCGGCCACGGCAGCCTGACATACCCCAGCGGCGGCTCCCACCTCAGCCTGACGCTGCAAGGCGGCGGCGGCTCCCACCTCAGCCTGACGCGGCCCGGCGGCGGGGCTTCGCTGACCCTGGTCCAGGGCGGCGCCGTGACGCTGACCAGCGCCAGTGCCGACTCGCTCAGCCTCAGCGGCGCCACACAGCTGGTGACAGACAGGCCGCCGCCGGCGCAGTTCTTCATCACCGACACAAGTCTCTCGCAGACGCGACCGCCGCCGTACGGCCGGCCGACGCGGCCGCTGCTGCCTCCTTTCGGCTCGTTCACAACGTCCAGCTACTACGCTCGGCCGCCGGGCAGCGGACGGCCGCCGGGCCGGCCGAACGGCCCTCCCCGACCGTTCGGCGGCTACCGGCCTCGACCGAGCTACACGAGCAGCAGCCGGACGGGCGGCGTCACCATGAGCCTGTACACACGACCGCCGCTGAGCGCCACCATCGACCCCAACCGCGTCTTCATTGTCGGCAAGGAGACCATCTACTTCAAGTAGCGGGCGGCGAGACGGCGCGCGGGCAGACGCAGTGAGTCTGAGTCAACGGTCAGTGCGGGGAGCTTGCCTGCGGTGCGGGTCCAGAAATAGATCGATCGGAGCGAGGCTGCACCAGTTACGAATGATAAGGCCCTCTGCAGGCAACGGTGGAAAGGGTAGACAGTGTTCACTTGCGAATACAACGTGATGTTTTTGTGGGTCTGATGACTCGCTGTTTTCATCGGTTCGATCGTCCATGTCAGACATGTTGCAAGACAGGGCCTGATCGAAGCGGATGAGTCGCCAGTGCCGTGTCCAGGAGCGTCGCACCACAGGACAGTCAGCCGGAGGGATCACGCGGCCGCGGCCCAGCCAATCAGCATCAGCCGGGGGTGACCCAAGGGAAATCGCCGAACCAGCCGTTGAAGAAATGCTTTAAGTTCCTGGATCCTGCATAATTTTTCGACGGGGTTTGTTTTGCTTTCATTGGAAAAGATCCTTTCCTAGAACTGAAGGCTGACTCGCGTGTGGTCCTGGTGTAGCACATCTATGGATGCGATGGGGGACGCGATATGTTTTGGGAGCCAGACATGCTCAGGTGCGGTGTATAAACCTGGCCTCAAACGGCTGGCTCACCATAAACCATTGGAGATGCATCACATCGGTGTCACGGTACCGGCAGGCCGCGATTGCAGGTAAACCATTGGAGATGCATCGCGTCGATGTCACGGTACCGACAGGCCGCGATTGCAGGCAAACCATTGGAGATGCATCGCGTCGGTGTCACGGTACCGACAGGCCGCGATTGCAGGCAAACCATTGGAGATGCATCGCGTCGGTGTCACGGTACCGACAGGCCGCGATTGCAGGGAAACCATTGGAGATGCATCCTTTCGTTGCTACGGTACCGGCAGGCCGCGACTGGTTAGTGCCGTCTCGGTGCTAGACCAGTAGTTAACAACATCAGAACACTGCCGTTACCAAACAATGTTGTATGAAGCACGAGCAGCGTGCAATGAATGCACGGTGTCATGCACGTGGTCTGATGTCGCCATCCATCCCTGTCGTATGTACTGAGAGCTGTTACCAATAATGGTACTAGCTAACACCGACGACACAAGCTCGCTCCAACATTCACGTTGGGGCGTTCGGACAATTCTGGACACCTCAAATAAATATTTCGACTCCATCCTGCTTCGGATTGAGTACATCGAGAGACCATTCTATCCCCGAACCTTCGCGACAGGTTTCAGTGGTATCCATGTCAAGGACATCCATCAGATATTTATTATAACATACCGCAAACTAACTGAAAGCTAAGGGATCTTCAGATGCAGAATTCGCATAATCTGCAAACACATGTGCTCCAAACCAAATCATATTTCGCGCCGTATATACCTCAATCTCTACACAGCTATTTCAGAAAGCTGCAGAACATTAAGTCGCACCCGCTTGCAGGTCTGACGTCACCAGCTGGGAACGCGTAGGCAAGAGCAGTGTCATCTCCCAATACCGGGTCAGGACTTGACGAATTCACGAGCATCCTCCGGCGTACTGTGAAACGACGGGAGGCCACAGCGGAAACAGAGCCACATATTTCGCCAATACCGGCTGTGGAGAACTTAAAGTCCGCCCTACTGACGATCTACAAATGTAGTGATCAACAGCAGCAACGCACTCCTCACGGCCAGCGTGCTCCCTATGCACCATTGCCAGAGACAAAACCTTCACGGCTTTAGGCATCGTTAGTGATGGTTTCTAGCAAGCTGCAAACAATATAACCTCCGCTGGATCGGTTGGTGGACCGGTGGACTGTAAGGTAGCATGCATCTGTGGCATACCCGGAGGATGCAGTTTGCAGGCAAGGAGGCAGCCAAACCAGCCTTGCCTGAAATTCGGGAAAATGACCGCTACGATCACGAATCAAGCACCAACTATTCTCAGGTTTTTTCAGCGTCGGGCTGTCATTGGCGGCGGATTCAAATTCAGTTCACTTGGCATTTTGAAATGCGAATTGAGGCAGCTGAGCACGCCACGTGGGTTAAACGAGGTTTGACGCCTACATTACGGTGTCTTTATCCAAGAAAGTGTTCTATGAGAGATGGGATTATATCCAGCGCCGTCTGGACGTCTAGTAAATTTGCAACACTGATGCCGAAACTTGCGAACGTTGATCAGAAAAACGTCCTCCGGGCCGGATTTGAACCAGCGACCTATGGATGCCTGTACTTTCCTCTACAGTCCACCGCTCTACCAACTGAGCTACCAGAGGCTGACGGAGGCGACCTCGAACGGTCCGGCCGTCGGCTGACTGGCCGGACCGGTTCCATCAGACCACGCCTCAGTATCATGTCCGTCACTTGCACTGACGGATCTCGGTAGGGATAGTCGTTGACCCCAAAACGGAGCAAGTCGTCACACATATCTCTCTGCGCTATAGTTTCGAAGAGGGGAGCGTGTTAGTGTCGGTGACAGGCTGCTGACGGCTGCCGGGTGGCAACTGGTCGTCTTTGTGACATGAGTGGGAGTCGCTGACGGCTGCCGGGTGGCGGCCGGTCGTCTTTGTGACATGAGTGGGAGTCGCTGACGGCTGCCGGGTGGCGGCCGGTCGTCTTTGTGACATGAGTGGGAGTTGCTGACGGCTGCCGGGTGGCGGCCGGTCGTCTTTGTGACATGAGTGGGAGTCGCTGACGGCTGCCGGGTGGCGGCTGGTCGTCTTTGTGACATGAGTGGGAGTCA